GGCCACACCTGCCAGGTTCTGTCAAAATGCGGCGTGCATGAGTTGTGCGAGCCCCCCTGCGGCTCCGGAGCGCGCCGCGCCTCTCACACCAGAATGCTGCTGCACAGATCGCATGCTCGCCGTCATGGAGCCCCTGCTGCAGTGAGGGCTCAGGACCTCGGCTTGCAAACGCTCCCGAACGCCTGGGAGGACTCGGAGTGTCCGCTATGTGACTTTCAGCTTCCAGCTGAATTCAACTCGGAGGTGGACAGACCTTCTACCTTGGCACGTCGATTAGCGAATTGGCCGTTTTCGGTTCGCGAGAGGGCGTCGCGGCCGTCATTTCTGCGGGTCCAGGTCCGTCGGTTTCGGTCCCAGGCCGTTTTCACTAAGGGGAGGTTTACCAAAGGGAGGTTTGTCCACCGCCGATCAAAGGTGGAGAACACCCACGCCGAGCACATTTGTTGAGCCACGGCCGGCCTGGACGTGATAGGACGTGATATCCTGTCTGCTGGCCGGACCTCCCAGGCTGGAGGTGAGAGGAACAAGATCCGTCGCCTCCATGGGAAGCGCCGCCAGGCCACGAAGCGCGCCGACTACATCGACCGGGTACGCACACCGCCGAGGCGCTGCCGATCTGGGCGTGCGAGCTGGTCGTCACGGACGAGAGCCCGATCTGTTCTGTATGCGAGTACACAGCCATTTGCCCCTCCGCCTTTTCCAGGGAGGATTGTTGTCTTACATGCTGTGGAGCGCCAGAGGCGGCGTTGGCTGAAGCCGCGCCTCTGACTCAGACGACCCGCTCCGCTCGAGTACGGGATGCACTCGCCTCGGCTACAGTGGGGGCCCATGCCGAGATACACCCTGCTCGCCTCCAGGGTGCCCTGGGTTTCTTGGGCTTCTATGGTTTTGCTATGGAAAGCGTGACGTACCCACACCAAAAAATCAATGGACGCCCTGGGGCCTCGGGGTTGGGTTTCTTGTGGGCGGCCCCCTACTGTACGTCCCAAATGCGCGAGCACGGCCGTCAGCGCGTTCGTGACCGCAGGGCTCCCCCTGGCCGCCATGCGGGGGGGGGGGGGGGGGCGACTTCAGTGCTGAGGCCAAGGACGACCTCAAGCCTCTCACGTTCAACATGGGAAGATATACCAAACGTCGTGTTGGGCTGTTGCGGCTTCCCCCACAACATCATCCTCACATTTTTTGTTTTCTGCAGGAACGTGCCCTTCCCAATGGACAGCGGCACACTTTGCGAGCTGATCCGCGCATTCTGGGCTACCACGTTCACACTGGTTGCCATGGGATGTGCACTGATGTTCGCGACGGCCTGAACGTCGCGCCAATGGCTGCCACTGAGAATGACATTTTGATTTTCGTGTACAACGCCTAGCGCTGCAGCTGGGCGAGAGTCGCGTGTTGGTGCGGCACCAGCGCGCCCACCCTGGCTCCGCCTCGGAGCGCAGCAGGTTCAACGCCAGCCTCCTGACCGAACCGAGCCTGCCCGTCTCACCCTCGACGTGGGCGACTTCAACGGGCGCCTGGTCCATTTATGAAGGGGTGGATCTGGTGGCGATTTTCCCCTCGGAGCGCACGTTCCGCCGCAACCCACGTGGAGGGGAGTGGCAAACCACAATCGATGGCGCGGCATTCGCTACCGCACTTGCGGCTGCAGCTGCAGCCACAGTCTTGGATCTTGTTGAACATTCACAAGATCGCCCCGTGTTGTTTGAAGCGGCTCTACCTCCTGAGTTCTACGAGAGCACCCAGTGGGCCGTCTCCGAGCCGATACGCATGGGCGATTGGACTGCCATCTCCAAGGACGAGTTTGTAGACGCGCTCACGGCCGACATCGATCAGGCGTGGGCTGTGGGCCGACGCGTCCCTAACCCGCTTGCTTGGGCCAGGCGCTCACCGCACGCATTTGACGCGCGCAGCTACTTGCACTGCTGTCCGCATGTTCTACCGGGTCGCCCTGGCCAAGATCGTATTTTGGAATGTGTGGTGCGCACTGGGCGCAACGACAACGTCGCAAATTTGGCCGGGTTACTCTCCTGGATCGAGCGCGTCGAGCGCTGGGCATTAAATGGCGCACCGCCACTTCTTACAAGAGCATTTGCTATTCTTTTAACGTCGGCATCCGTCCCGACCTGCCTGGTCAAGCTGGTCGGCGCGATTATCCACGATTACGAAAAGCCGCTCGCGCAGACGGTCGGCTTCACGACCTGCGCGTCTTCCTGCGGTGTTGACTGGCTGGGCGGGAGGCCGCATGCCGCCGCGAGGACTTCGACGGCCTCCTCCAGGGTCTTTCCGAAGTGCGCGAGGCACGAGAGCACACGTCCGCCGCGCAGCTGCACTACGGCGGCCCCGCGCTCACCACCGGCGGCATCCGTCATGGCGCCAACATCGCACAGCGGATTTCGTCCGGAAAACAATAGGATGGGCCCGGAGTGTCCTGGAGAATGTCGTTCCGAATTTCGAAGTTTCGTGCGGGTTTTTTTGGCCAGGAATGAAGACTCCGAAAAAACACGTGAAATTCACGTCGTTTTTCGCTCGCCGTTTAGGGGTCTTGTATTGACAGATTTCCACGCACAAATCCGCTGCAGCACGTTTGCAAGGTCGGTGCAGTGACATCTGGACCTCCTTGAGCAAGTCCCAGATCCCGAACCACGACGGCGACGAGATCTGCGTCCGCGGCAGGGGCGCGGTCGACACCACCGTGCACCGACTGTAGAATTGCCCATGCAATGCGGCTGCTCGCAGTGCGTTGGACGCACGCACCCCTGGGAACAACTACCCTGACGGTCTCCCACCATGTCTGGCACGGTGCGGATTGCTCCCTCAGGGACTGGGGGCGGGCACAAAGCCGTCCTTGGAGGAGGCGAAGTACGTCTCGGAGTACTGCTTCACGGAAACGCACATGCTACGTTGGCTTCTGCCGCGGAGCGCCGCCAACAACCAGCGTTGTTCGAGCTGGATCAGTGCCACTCCCATCCAGTGCAGCACATATATGTGCACGTCGATATATATATATATATACACAAATACACATATAAATATACATATATACATATATGTATACATATATGTATGAATGTGTACACACAGACAATGTATATATACACACATTTATGTACATATATATATATGTATACATATATATATATATATATATATATATATATATATATATATATCGTGCTGGTCTGCCTCCTCTGCCCCGCCTCAAGCAGCGGGCGCCGCGGCCAGCAAGCCAGGGGCCCGGGGGAGGACCTCCGGCAAGCCAGCGCAGGTACCAGCGTTTTCAGCAGCTTGTACTGGGCAGTTCTCGAGTACACGATGCCTTCGTGCTGTCGCGTGATGGTTCGTTCGGCGACCAGCGGGCGAAATGCCGACTGTTTCTGGTTGGAGTTCTGATGTTTCATCCTCTTCGGCCTCGCTCCGGGACTATTGCGGGCCCACCATATTGGGCCCGAGTGCGTTTGATTATATCGGTGCATATCATCCTTCCAAGAACGCTGGTGAAGTTTATGTTCATAGTTCGCCTTGTCTTGGGCCCGCGATCATGTTGCCACCTTGCCATCCTCACCGCGTGCCATCATCGAGTATGATCTTGGAGTACGCAGCTGGCGTGGCGCAGCGGCACTTCCTGGGGCGGACGAGCCTTCGGTTCGTGCTTCGCGTTCGTCAAATATTTAGTCAGGTCGCTTGTCGTGTTGGTTTCAGGAAAGTGGAAAGCCATATTGGGCAATGTTTGAACGAGCGTGCGGACCATTTGGCCGAATGCGGTGCCGATGTGATCTTATGTGGTACTGCTGATATTCATCGTTGGACCGGCCTTTCCGACAAACCCATTCGTTATCAGATAACAGGCAGCACTTGTTCAGCTTCCGCACATGATTTCGTCAACGTCATCGTTGGGGTCGTCCCTTTTGCAGTGTTCCAGCTAATTTGCCACGGTCTCGATATACTCTGGTTTTGACGGTGCAACTAGTCAGTTCGACCATAATCAAATCAGTGTACTCATTTGGACCGTGTGCAATTTGTCTTTCATTCGATTCGCAGAAGCATTCCTGAACATGACCTCGTTTGTCATCGTGGCGTCATGTGCCTTGGCCGTGGGTTTCACCAGGGCCTCGACGGCGCTCTCCTCCAGATCGGATTTGATCAGCGTGCGGCTCTCGGTCCGAAATCACACGCCTCTTCCAGGCAGGGGAGCGGGCGGCGAGGCCATTGAGCGCAGCGGATGCGGATTGCAAAAGTGCCCAGGGCTGCCAGCGGGAGTGCAGCCGCGCTTGCGCACGACTACGAGAAAACAGCTCCCGCCCGGTGTCTTCCCCCTGTGGCCTTAGGCGCGTGCGCGTCTCCTGCACACGGCGCAGTTGCGCAGGCCAGGCAAGAAGGCCCGACGCAATTCAGGCGGTTGTTCCTGAGTGTTCACCATGCTGGGACCCCCCCATCCCGTCTGATTGGGCCAGCCAGGGAAGGGGGTATTAAGAGAGGCAGCGGCTCCTCTTCCTCCTCTTGCATTCTCTCCTCCTTCTCCTCCTCCTCCTTCTCCTCTTCATCCTCCTCCTTTTCCTCCTCTTCCCCCTCCTCTTTTTCCTCCTCTTCCTCCTCCTCCTCCTCCGCATCATCATCATCATCAGTGCGGGCGCGGCGCGCGGCGCACGCCGCGCCCGCGCCGAGCTTCTCTAGTCTGCTGATCGTTTCTCTGTTGATCCGTGATCATCATCATCAGTATCATCATCATCATCATCATCATCATCATCATCATCATCATCATCATCATCATCATCATCATCATCATCATCATCATCAGTATCATCATCATCATCACCATAATCATCATCATCACCACCACCACCACCACTACCATCATCATCATCATCATCGTCGTCGTCATCATCATCATCATCATCATCATCATCATCCACCTTCCCCCATTTTCCTCGCCCTTCCCCTCTCCCAGCTGCCGCCCCCTCACCCCCTCCGCGCGCACACACCGGCGCACGCGGAGAGAGGCTTTCCCCAACTTCCAGGAGTCGTTGCCAGAGGTGGCGGACCTCCAGGCGCGCCGGCGCGGGTCCCTTGCCGCCGCCGCCCGCGGCCCGCTGGCGAGAGTCCCTGACGACGACGGCAACGACGACGACAGCGACAGCCGACGAAGAAAAATAGCAAAATCACACACACACACACACACTGTCGGAGGTCTGCGGGGAGTTCTTGGATCGGCGCTGGACTCCTTGGCGGCACCTCCAGCGGCGCTCCTGGAGCGCTCCGCGCGCCAGGGAGGAGGGTCCAGCGCCGATCCAAGAAATCCGCGCGGACCTCCGAAAGTTTATGTTTATGCTGGCTTTATGTCCCTCCAGATCAAGACAGCGATCCTGAGCGACCACGAGGGACGGAGAGAGGGATAGGAGGAGGACGAGTCGAGATAGCAGTATTTAGCCTTCGGGGGACCCCCTCGTCAAGACGGCTGACGCAGCTCGGGAAGTTGGTGCGATTGGACCCCAGGGAGAAAGGAAGAGCGTGTTTGGAATTCTCGGGCGCGTTTTCGAGGAAGTATATCTTCCAGAGCTCCACTGCCAACTGGTACCCATTCTCTTCCGCATCCCTTGGCGTTCCCTCCTTACTTACCCTGTCTACCTTCTACTTCCCCGCCTCCTCCGTCGTTGGGGCTTCTCAGCTTCTTTCAGCACTCCACCTCCTCAACCTGCCAGGGATGCCAGCGAACCAGGCGTGCACAAGCTCACCCTCTCCTCCTCGGCGACCCCGAGCTCGGGCTTGGCCTTCGGGACGCGCGGGGGCGTTGGGCCCTTCCCCGTCCCCTCCCCTGCTCGTTCGGAGCGCCGAGGCCAAAGAAACATCCGACTCCACCAGGGTCTTCCCTGAGACCCGACGCTACGTCTTAGAATTGTACCCGTGCCTCCTCTATCGCCGCCGCCAGCCACATCGGACATTGCCAACAGGCTATCGTACGATCACCGTCCGCAGCCGCTGGTTGTACTCAGGTGAGTAAAGGGGCGCGCCTTGCCGTCGTCGCCATCGTCCGTCGTCGCGGCCGGCCAGTCCCCATCTTCTTCCCTGAGATCCAGCGTTTCGAAAATTACCCAGGGACGTACCCGACCCTGTTTAAACATGTGGCGACCATACCCAGGACCGCTCAGTGCACATGAACATGTTGAAAGACCTGCAGATGCGCAGGAGCACCCAGAAGTGCAATCAGAAGAGCGCGGCAGCGAGAGTAATGACGAACATGCACGAACGTAGCCACAGCGTCGCAGTTCCCAGCCTCCCAGGGAGCCGTGAGGTCTCAGCTGGGCGCGCGTACAACTCCACTCCGCTGGACCACCCAGGAGCCCACGAAGGTGGCGACAGTTACGCAAGTGGCACCCCCCCAGGGAGCCGCGAGGTCTTGCCTGGATGCGCGTGGCCCTCCACTCCGCTGGACCTCCCAGGAGCCCACGAAATTGGCGACAGTTGCGCAGGAGGTAGCTCCACCCCCCTAGGGAGCCTCGAGGTCTCGCATGGGTGCGCGTGACAACCTATTCCGCTGGACCTCCAGGAGCTCATGGAATGGTGACAGTTGACAGTTGCGCAGTTACAACCCCCAAGGGAGCCGCGACGGTTCGACTGTGTGCGCGTACAACTCCACCCCGCTGGGCTTCACAGGGGCCCACAAACAGGGAGACGCAGGGAGCCGCGAGGTCTCGCCTGGGTGTGCGTGGCCTTCCACTCCGCTGGACCTCCCAAGAACCCACGAAACTGGCGATTGACTCGCGCGTCTTAGCCCCCCCCGGAGCCGCGAGGTCTCGGCTGGATCCGCGTGTAATTCCATTCCGTTGGACCTCCCATGAGCCGACGAAAGTGACGACATTTCTATCGCACTTCGCAGCCACCTAGGGACCTGCGAGGTCTCGGCTGGATCCGCGTGTAACTCCATTCCGCTGGACTTCCCAGGAACCCATGAAAGTGACGACAGGCTCGCAAGATTTAGCCCCCCAGGCAGCCGCGAGGTCTCCGTTGGATCCGCGCATAGCCCCGAACCGTGAGACCCACCAGGAGCCCATCAATGTGGCGGAAGTTTCGTACCCCGTAGCCCCCAAGGGAGCGGCGAAGTCTCGGCGGTCCGTGTGTAACGCCATTCCGTTGGACGTCCCAGAAGCCCACGAAAGTGGCGACGGTCACATCGCACTTCGCAGATCCCCAGGGACTCGTCAAGATCCGCGTGTAACTCCACTCCGATGGACCTCCCAGGAACCCACGAAAGTGGCGACAAATTCGCACTTCGCAACCCCCCACGGAGCCGCGAGGTGTGGGCTGGATCAGCGTGTACCCCACCCCGTTGGACTTCCCAGGAGCCCACGAGACTGGCGACAGTTTCGCACGTCGCAGCAGCCCCCCAGGGATCCGCGCAAGCAGTACGCCAAAGACCTGCGGGAGGAGGCGGTAGGTTTGCGCAAAGAGTTCTCTATTCAAAACGAGAAGCCAACACAGGAGCAATGGTAACAAAGCAAAAGGAGGAGGAGGAGCAGGAGCAGGAGTAGTAGCAGGAGGAGCAGGAGCAGGAGCAGGAGCAGGAGCAGGAGGAAGGGGAGGGGGAGGGGCAGGGGCAGGCGAAGGGGGAAGGAAAGGAGGAGGACTGGAGACCACAGAGTTCTATTCAAAACGAGTGCCCAGCACAGGAGCGTTGGAAAGAATGCATCATTGCGAATGGAGCCCTTGAACCCACTATGTTGCTGCATGTTCCGAGCCGTACTTTATTGAATCGCTTCGCTCAGTCCGCCGGCCCGTATTGTGCCATCGCGGGTTCTTGGGGGGTCTTGGGAGCCCTTGGAAGCTTCGTGGGAGTTTCTTGGGAACTTTGGGAGGCCTCGTGGATGGCTCTGGGTGGGCCCTCTTGGTGGTCTATTGGGGGGGTCTGCCTGGCCTCTTGGGGGCCTCCTGGGAGCTTCCTTTGGGTCTCTTGGGGGCCTCTTGGGGCTTTCTTGCGGCCTGTTGGGGGCCTCTTGGGGCTCTCTTGGGGGCTTCGTGGGGCTACTTGGGGGCTTGTAGGGGCATTTCGGGGGGCGTGTTTGGGCGGGAGGCTCAAAATTTCCGTTCAGGTTGCCCCTGTGGACCTCAATCATGGGGCCGTCTTGGGGCCTCTTGGACCGTCTTGAGGGTTTCTTGGGCCTTCTTGGAGCGCTCTTGGGCCGTCTTTGAGCGGTCTTGAGGGTCTCTCGGGCCGTCTTGGGGTGATCTTGGGGGCCTCTTGGACCGCCTTGAAAGGTGTGAAAGACGAAGAGGCGGATATGTTAAAAATGCACGTTTCCTAAGGGAATGAGACGATTTTTGCTTGTGGGAGCCCTCTTGGGACGCCGCTTAGGGACCTCTTGGGGGGTCTTGAAGGCCTGTTGGGCCGTCTTGAGGCCATCGTAAGCGCTTGGGGGTGATATTTCGGCGTCTCCCGGCTCTCTTGGACCGTCTGGAGGGTTTCTCGGGCCTCTCTTGGACCGATTTGGAGCCCTCCTGGGCTCCGAAAAAGAGGTCTTGAGGGATTGTTGGGCCTTCTTGGAGCGCTCTTGGGCCGTCTTTGAGCGGTCTAGAGGGTCTCTCGGGCCGTCTTGGGGTGATCTTGGGGGCCTCTTGGACCGCCTTGAAAGGTGTGAAAGACGAAGAGGCGGATATGTTAAAAATGCACGTTTTCCTAAGGGAATGAGACGATTTTTGCTTGTGGGAGCCCTCTTGGGACGCCGCTTAGGGACCTCTTAGGGACCTCTTGGGGCGTCTTGAAGGCCTGTTGGGCCGTCTTGAGGCCATCGTAGGCGTTTGGGAGTGATATTTCGGCGTCTCCCGGCTCTCTTGGACCGTCTGGAGGGCTTCTCGGGCCCCTCTTGGACCGATTTGGAGCCCTCCTGGGCTCCGAAAAAGAGTTCTTGAGGGTTTGTTGGGCCTTCTTGGAGCGCTCTTGGGCCGTCTTTGAGCGGTCTTGAGGGTCTCTCGGGCCGTCTTGGGGTGATCTTGGGGGCCTCTTGGACCGCCTTGAAAGGTGTGAAAGACGAAGAGGCGGATATGTTAAAAATGCACGTTGTCCTAAGGGAATGAGACGATTTTTGCTTGTGGGAGCCCTCTTGGGACGCCGCTTAGGGACCTCTTGGGGGGTCTTGAAGGCCTGTTGGGCCGTCTTGAGGCCATCGCAGGCGTTTGGGAGTGATATTTCGGCGTCTCCCGGCTCTCTTGGACCGTCTGGAGGGCTTCTCGGGCCTCTCTTGGACCGTTTGGAGCCCTCCTGGGCTCCCAAAAGGGACCTTATTATGAGCGTGGGGCCCCGCCACCACGGGCGACCTCAGTTGGTCACGGCGCGAGTTCGGCAATTGTCAGAGTGAGGGGGCTGAACCGAACGGTCATTCACTGTCCCTGGGTGCGTGGCTGAAGTGCAATTCCGCGATGCGGATTCTTGTTGTTGTTGTTTGTTGTTTGTTGTTGTCGTCGTCCCACCCGCGACCCGCCCCGCGATCCACCTGCGACCCGCCCCGTGACCCACCCGCGACCCGCCCGCGACCCACCCCGCGACCCACCCGCGACCCACCCCGCGACCCACCCGCGACCCACCCGCGACCCACCCGCGACCCACCCCGCGACCCGCCCGCGACCCACCACGAGACCCCCCCGGCGACCCACCCGCGACCCACCGGCGACCCACCCGCGACCCACCCGCGACCCACCTTGCGTCCCACCCGCGACCCACCGCGACCCATCCGCGACCCAAACCGCGCCCGCGACCCGCCCGCGACCCACCTCGACCCAACCGCGACCCACCCGCGACCCACCCCGCGACCCACCCAAAATTTTCGGCGCCTGCGGCGGGCTTCTTTTGCATTCGTTCCAAGCGGAGAACCTGCGACCCACCCGCGACCAAAACCGCGCTCAGTGTACAAATTAAAATGTTCGGCGCCTGCGGCGGGCTGTTTTTGAATTCCTTACAGGTGGAGGTGGAGAGCCCGCGACCCACCCGCGACCCAAACTACGTTCACTGAACAAGCCCGCGACCCACCCCCCCGGCGCGCGCGCGCTCCGCGGAGGAGGGGAGGAGGAGCAGGGCGAGGAGCAGGAGGAAGACGACGACGACGACGACGACGACGACGACGACGACGACGAGTACGAGGACAAAGATGAGGCCGACAACAAGGGCGAGGAGAAAAGGAGGGGACGGAGGGGGACGACGAGAAAGGAGGGAGGAGGAGGGGGAGGAGGAAAAGGACGACGACGACGGAAAGGAGGAGGGGGGAGGATCGGGATGGGGGAGGAAGAGGAAGAGGAGGAGGAGGAGGAGGAAGAAGAAAAGGAGGAAGAGGAGGAGGAGGTGGAGGAGGTGGAGGAGGAAGAGGCGGACGACGACGACGACGACGACGACGACGATGAGGACGATGAGGACGATGACGCGGACGAGGAAGAGGAGGAGCAGGAGGAGGAAGAGGAGGGCGCCATCGACAGGGAAGGTGAGGGCCACGAGGTCCGCCAGCTCGACGCCCGCGTCGCCCGCGCCCGCCCCCTCACTCTTATCCGCAATTGCGGGGTGCTACGTTTTGGTCCGCCCAGCTGGCCCGCGTGAAGGTCACGCTCTTGGCTTGATAATCCCCCCTCGTCGTACCCTCTGCATGTTTCCCTCCGCCTTTTCCCTCCCCTCCTCCCCCCCCCATCTCTGCCCGCGCCGTCCTCCCCCTCGGACCCCCCCGCCTTCCTCCCCCACTCACTCTCCTCCCCCCCCCGTTCATTCGGAGCAGGGCGAGTTGAGACAACGGCGGCTCAAAGCGGTCCCGGGACCCCTCCAAGGGTCAAACATCACAAGTTGTCCAAGCTGCGTCCAGCCGTGGCGACGAGGGGGGCCCCCGCAGGCCAATTGCTGCCGTCTCGACTCGTCCCCCTCTAATCACCCTCTCCGCCCCCCGTGGTCGCTTGCCCCACCCTCGATTACCGTAAACTCAGAAATGACGCCGCTGATTTGGTGCGGTCCACCACCCTCATCCTTCCGGCCTGGAGGCGGCCACGCTTGCCCGCCAGTGGCATCCGTCGAGGCTTGCCTGTACGCTCGCAGGTACGTTGCTGCCGCTGCAGCCTCGGCTCGACCTGTCCAGTGCTGTGTACGAGAAGGTTCCGTCCCAACGCCAAGTCAGAGCCCGTTGGGCATTCTTGGAGCTGGCAGGGCAAGGCAGTTCTTGGCAATGCGACCGTTGTGTTCGTGGGTTCCGCTCTGTCTTGAAGTTTGTTCATGGTGTTTGCCGAGGAGGTCCTCGGAAGCCGTGGGTTCGACGCTCCTCGGCAACTCCATGGTTTTCCTTGACGCCAGCGACCATTCTCGCATCTGTGTTTGCAGTCGCTCTAAAAATTATAGCAGCGGCAGCAACGCGCGAGGTCTCCGCTCGCCCAGAGTTCGGCCACGCGCAGAGGGGGAGGGGGGAGGGGGGAGGGCTTCTTAGAAGCACCCCTGGTTCTTAGAAGGCGCGGGCGTTATCTGTAGATGTAAGGCCGGCGCCTTCTAAGAAGCCCTCCCCCCTCCCTCCACCCCCAAAGAGTGCCGTCCCTGCCCTCGAACGGGGGCTCATCATAACCAGAGGCCTGCATCCCAAGCTTGACGGTTTTACAGTTGACGTCGGGTCTTGGTCTGAGGAGTCCTCCAACTAATCGGAATTCATATCTTCTCTGTTTTACTTTTGTGTGGTTGTGCCGTCTGATGTTCAAAATCGTACCCATCTCGACCCAGGAAATCCGCGTGGACCTCAGACAGTTGATGTGTATACCGTTTATTATTCTTCGATGGTCGTCGTCGTCAAGGGGCTTCCTCCTCTGATTCTTGTCCCCCCCCCCCTCGCTCCCTCTTCGCTCGCTCTCCCCGGTGCCCGCGGCCCTCCCCAGGAGTTCTACAAGGCCGCCAAGAAGCGTTTCGACGACGACGAGGAGTTCAAGAGGAGGGCGGCGCGCCCGCGCTGCCCTCCGGAGGCGTCGGGGTGTAATGGCGACGCGTCGGGAGGCGGGGCCCATCTCGATCCGATCGATCCCACTCGGCCCGATGCTCGCACGGCGCCGTTGTGCGTCCTGGCGCAGCCGATGCGATTCGATTCCGACTCCGCGCCGCCCGATCATGGGGGGGGCAGGGGCGAGTGCCTGGCATCGGTCGGGCGTGTGCGTTTCTTCTCGGCGCGGACCATCGAGGAGCATTTCGGGTCCTCCTCGCCGAGGCAAAAAAAACACAGAACGGAAAAGGCACGGGCAATGGACGCCCGAGCAATGGCAGAGGGTGGCGAGCCGAGGGCGGACCGCAGGGGGCCCGCATCTCCGACGGTGCGGGCTGCCGCACCGGGGCGTGCTCCTTGCCCCGAGCTCGGCCTCTGGGCGCCGGCTTCGTGCCTCGGGGCCGCCGAGGACGGAGCCGCGGGCCAAGGATCGGCGACTACCAATAAGTCGGGCGTGTCCCCCTACAGGGGGATGTTCGACGAACAAAAAAAAATACTCTGGAAAAAACCCAAAATGATCAAAAAAATCTCAAAAAAACGCCCCCTGACTATTTTCTAACTACTTTTGAGTATTCCTCCTGTAGAGGGACGTGCCCGACTTAAGACTACAAAGGGCATGGTTCTTCCGTGGCGTGGTTTGCGATCGGCACCGTCGGGGCCTGGGGGGCACGACGCTGTCCTCGTCGGTCCTCCTCGGGGCGCGGCGGTGGAGAGCTCTGTCGAGGTCCTCGCCCGCCCCCTAGGGGTGCCTCTCAGGGTGCCGGTTGCAAGCCACACCTTTTGCAAACCACACCCTTTCGAGTCGCCGAAAGGAAGCTCCACTCCCGGGGAAGGGGGCAGGACCTGTCGGGAGTCGCGAAGGGAAAAGGTCGCGGGGTCATGGCGGCGGATGTCGGGGGGGAGCAGCAGCAGGCGCAGGCGCAGGCGCAGGAGGAGAGGGGGGAGCGGGAGGGTCCGAACATGATGGAACGGGAGGAGGAGGAGGAGGAGGAGGAGGAGGAGGAGGAGGAGGAGGAACAGCAGCAGCAGCAGCAGCAGCAGCGGAATGAAGAGAAGCAGGAGGAGCACGAGGCCGCGGAGGAGGAGCGGGCGCAGGCGTAGGAGCACGATCGCGTGCAGGGGGTCGGGTGCAGCAGGAGGGGGAGGATGGAGGGCACGCAGGAGGACGGGGACGACGAAGCACGAGGAGGACGAGGGGGAGGAACCCGAAGACGAGGATGATCCCCCCTCACCCTCCTCTGCCCTCCCACCCTAATCATCTGTCCCACCCTGTGTCGTCCTTCCCCCCCATCCGCCCCATCCTCCCTCCCTCCCGACATCCCTCTGTTCCATCCCCGTCCAGTCTGGTCCCCTCCCCACTCCCATCCTCGTACCCATCTTCTTTCTCCTCCTGCATCGACCGCTTCTCCCACTTCCACCGAGGGAGAGAACAAGTAGCTTCTGATCCATCCTCCTGTATGTCCTCAACTCGGTGGCCCCCGTGTCGACAGCCCAGCGTTGTCCTCCCCGTTGTTTCCTCTTCGCGTCTCCCTTTCCAGCCCTTTCTCCTCCAACCTCCCATCTCACCTATCTCCCATTTGGTCTTCGTCCGATACTCCTCCACCCGGCACTCCTCCCCTCTTCGACCCCCCAGCGGGCTTTTTCATCCGCCTGCCTCTGGGATCTGAACCATACTGGCCGGCCAGAGGAAAGCGCAGATTGCGGTGGTGGACCTCCAGTCCGGGGGTGAGTTCGCTACCTCGGCTTGGCAGAAGATCTGCGACGTGAGCCGAGGGCTTAACACGAGGAGGAAGAGGATGTCGGGAGGGAGCGAAGAGTTGGGGGGCGACGACGTCGACGAGGATGACAATGAGGATGATCCAGCGCTCGTCACGAAAAAGAAGAGGATGTCGGGAGGGAGAGAGGGAAGAGGTGAGGGACGACGACGTCGATGAAGACGACAATGAGGAGGGTCCAGCACTCGTCCTTGCCCCTCCTCGAGGAGGACGAGGGAAGGACGGGGGAGGTGGACGAGAGAGAGGGAGGCATGTTCATCCCCTTCTGCCGTTCCCCCGCCTCGACTCCTCCCTCATTCCCCCCGTTCCCTTCCCCCTCTTCTTCGAACCAGAATAGTTATACGTATCCTCCTTCCACGTTCCAGGTCATCCGTTCCACGTTCCAGTGATGTTTTGCGGCGAAAACACGCACACGCACACACACACAAAAAAAAAACTAGTACATGGAAGCTCGGCGTGGGGTGGGGGGGAGCTGGAGCTCGGAGCCTGGTTCCCAGAGTCTGAGGCCCTGGCAGAGGCAGGATGGCCCCCCTGCCCTGCAGAGAAAGGGAGGGAGGGGTGGAGAGAAAGAGGTGCACGGGATGAGAGGAAAGTGAGGGGCGGGGAGGGAGCAAATGACGGCTCACGTCCGTCTGCCTCTTGAGGCGTAGAAGTGGGCGTGCTTGGTGCAAGGGTTAGTCGCCTGGCCACCTCAATCGGACCCTCTGATCAGCCTTCCGCTTCTGAAGCTTCGGGGTGGGCGTATCGTTGAACTGGCAGAGGTCCTGGTCGAACCCCCGCGTGGACCACCCCTCGGGGAGAGAGCGAGGGTGAGGGAGCAAGCGAATCGTGACAGTGGGCTGGACTGGATGAGCAACTCAGTCCCCATCTTGTCTTGCTCTGACTGGGTGCCTCCCTGCTGGCATCTGTGGTCTCTCCTCTTGGAGGTCCCAGCTGGGCTAGGGGGTAAGGTGCCCTCAGCAGAGCTGGCGTGCTCATGGCTAACTGCCGCTGTGCTCCAGATCCGGTCTAGTCTCTCCGTTGCAAGACCGCTCATCCCTTCGGACCTCACAGGTTCTGGTCTGGTCTGGTCCCCACTCTTCCTCCTCCTCTTCTCGTCTTCTTTGTCTCTTCTCCTCCCCCTCCGCGTCGTCCTCTTTTTCTCTTTCTCCTGCCCCCCCCCTCGTCCTCCTCCACGTCTTCCTCGTCCCCCTCATAGTCGTCCTCCTCCTCCTTTGTTTCTGGCCGACGCCGTGAGCATGCCATACTTCTAGCACTAAATACTTCATGGAGACTACGGGCCACGGGACGCGCACGCGCTCTCTGCCTCAAGGTTCTGAGTGACGCCCTCTCCAGGTAGCACATACGAGGCGATGTCCGACACTTCTGATCTGCATGTGCAGGCCCACGACCGCGACCTCTGCCGACAGAGATTCGAGCACTCGGTGGTGGTCCTCCCCTCCTGCGATGGTGACGTGATCGTGAAGCCTTTCCAGGGGGGGACGATGGGGGACCCATACATAGTGGCGATGTTCCTCTCGACTTTTTCGAGGCCTATACTGTCATGGGGGTGGGAACTTACCAAATGAGACCGTTCCGCTCGCGATCTTCGCGCTGCCTGGGGGGACCTCAGTTCCGACTTATCATTGATTGAAATACGCGGACGTTTTGAATAAGATTGTCTTGTCCGAATTGGATTCCACGTTCTCCGATTTCGTCTCAAAGTTGATTAGGGTCAACAGCTGCTTAAACAAGAAACTCGATGAATACGGGTACGGGCAAAACCTCGGCAAGCAAGAATTCCTGTTCCATTTTAGCTGTCATGGTACGTGGGGCAAACAAGCGCTTACGGGACGTAAACAAGCTGGGTGGGACACCCAAGGACGCGGTACGATATTTGGGACCTTACGTCACCATGAATTCTTTGGCGGCACAGGGAGTCACGAGGAGGATTCAAGCGTCAAAGGTTTCCTTCTACAGCCTGGGGGGCATCTGGGGACTCCGTCTTCGACATAAGTTTAAACGGTTGCTGCTGCTCTGCTTTGCCCAGAACATCCTGAGTGGCTTGGAGGCCTTCGTTCTGAATGACCACGATTATGCACGTCTCGATCACGGGTTTGCAGCATGGGGGAGGAGGGCATTGAGGGGCAGAGCAGCACATGAGGGAGAGAATCATGTACGATGCTTGTCTACGGTTCAGATCCTCTGGCACTGGCGGCTTGCACCCAGTGCTGTGGAAATGCTCATCAGGCGCCTACGTATGTACCAGACTTGGGCCAGGGACCCCCCGCACCACGCCCAAGTTCTCTGCTGTCTCTTCGGCGAGATGGGTGGGGATCGGTACCGGTGACAACTTATCGCTGGTCGTCCGACACAATATTCGTCTCTGTGGGTCAGGCAGATCTGCCAGGACCTCGAATAGGCCGCGTTGTCCCTGGAGTCGGGGGTCCTGGAAGAAGTATCAAAGGACCTGAGGATCTTGGGGGGCAAGGTAAAGGCGGAGGAGTTCGTAGGCCTGGACGTTTCGGAGTTACGGGCTAAGCATTTTTCTCGCCGCTTTCCCCCTGGTGTCCATCCTGAGGCCGTTCCCCACCCAGAGGCCGATCTTGGAGAAGAAAGCGTTGAGTTTGTCTGCGGGATGCTTACTCCTGGAAGCGACGGTGTGCCCTGTACTGCGGCTTCTGTTCACCGTCGAGACTTGATGAACCATTGTGGGCAAGTGCACCACGTCCGCGACCTCTGCCACGTGCCGACTCCAACTAATGTCTGTATACATTGCCGACAAGTGTTTGGTAGCCAGCCGAACGCCGCCCGACATCCTCGGGGACCCCTCACTCGAGGGCACTGTTGCACGGGTGGTCCACGACGATGAAAATAGTTGCGGACCCACCGTGCTCCTTGGCTTGCCTAATCTGTAACCAAATAGGCCCATCCTTTTCTGCTTTGTGCGAAAGCCTCTGTTCACATCTCCCGATCGCGCTGCGCCCTTTCATTGCTCGGGAAGCGCGGAAATGTGAAGATGAGCGACGTGGACATGCCTTTCGTGGTTCAACAAGTGCGCGACGCGGCCCCGAGAACTTGGTTCAGGGTCGGGGGCGGCGGCATCGGCGACATCGGCGGCAGGGGGAGAGGAGGTGGTCAACCCCAAGGCCAAGATGGCGAAGCGGAACGGCAAGGACGGCAACGGCCACGCCAGGGACGAGGCCAAGATGCAGGACGTGATGTGCCGCCTCCTCCTGACCAACGTTCGCGAGACAGCGGAGCTCTCGGTCGCCGTCTACTGCAAGTACTACAACGGGGCGGACTCGGGGCGGACTCGGGGCTGGCCGCGGCGTGCCTCGCGGAGGGCCGCAAGTACAACCAGCACAGTCAAGCTTTGCACGAGCGCGCCGCCGCGGGCGAGAAGATCAAGTTCAAGGACCGCGTACCTCCTCATGCACACATCATGATGGCCGCGATCGAGTACGGGGCGAAACACACGGTGGCGGCGGGGCCCGAGCACGACGAGGGCCAGAAGGTCAAGGAGGCGTTCGTCAAGGTCCTGGCGGTGATCAAGAAGCAGGGGTCCTGGAAACCCTTGGCGCGGGCGGTGACGTACTTCAGGTACAGGGGCGACAAGGAGAAGGAGGGGGAGAGGCACATGGCGACGATGTCGTGGAAGATGTGCGCGGAGACGCTCCTCGGCGCCAGGCTGGCGGACATCTTCGAGGCGTTGGTGCTGCAGGAGGGCGGGGACTTCCTTCCTGGCCCAGCCCCGAGGGGCCCATACGAGCGCAACCTCTCCAGGATCCTCGGGCCAGGGCACAAGCAGCGCTGATGCTCGGCTCGGAGAGGTTCCAGCAGCTGGTGGCGCGGGGGATCGTGAGTGCTGACGCCCCAGCCCGTGTTGCCGCTGCTGCGAGCGGCATTGCTCAGACTTTTTCTCATCCTGCCATGCCTGCAGTCCCCCTGGTGCAGGCAGCTCCGAGGCCACCACCAAAGAGAAGGCAAGGTCGCAGTCGGGGGCGGCACAACGGCGATTTACAGCCCGCGCCGTGAGTGCCCGCCCCATGGTGGGCTGCGTGCCCATACGGGTGCGGGCCTGGCCAGTGCTGTTCTGTCAGTGGGCAGCTCGGCCAATCTCAATTGCATTCATCAGCGGGTCTCGGAGGGAACCATCTCAGAAGCCTCGTGCAGTCTCAGATTGATGCCTCAATTGTTTACTATCACGAGCGTGCCGCTGGAGATTGGTGGCTTCCCAGAGCTAGTCAGTTAGTCCTCCTCGTCCTCGTCCTCGTCCTCGTCCTCCTCCTGGTCCTCCTCGTCCTCATCTTCCCTTCTCCTCGCCGTCCCCTTCTTCCCCCTCCCCCCCGCCCAAGGCCGCAGAGCCTACCAGAAGAGCGCCCGCGCCGGCCGAAGGGGAGGGAAGGGAGGGGGAACGAAAAATGGGGTAATTTCGGGCGGGGCTGGAACTCGAACGACTCGCTCCAAAGCGTTCCAGACCGGCGGTTCCAGAGCGTTCCAGGGCGTTGTGGAACGCCCGCGGCGCCCGATGCATCTTCCAGAACAGCCTTATCTCAGATATCCTCCATTTGCCCAGGTCCGGTTTTGCCCTGGTCTTGTCTGCGCTTTAGGATCCGGGAACCGGGGGATGCGGAATCTGTTGCATGCAGACGGTTTCGGCGCCGCTGGCGGGCCGTTCCATCGACGCGCTGGCGCCTCCAACGCCCGAGGCACTGGGAAAACCAGCCAAACATCCTTGAGCTATCCCGAGAGATGGAGTGGAAGTGATGGGGTTGGGAGAGGATCTGGGGGAGGGAAAAAGAGAGAAAGGAAGCAAAGCATGGAAGGGAAGGGGGAGAAGGGGGGAGGAATGGACGAATGGGGGAGGGAAGGGGGGTCCGAGGGAGAGGGAGGGAAAGGGGGGAAGTGGGAGGGTCGAGGTCTTTCAAAAGGTTTCGGCCTTTTTGGACCCACCGAGGCTTCCAGAGGCCTCCGGGGGCCCCTGGAGACTCCCAGGGGCCTCGGAGGAGAGGAGGAGGGATCGTGCCACGTCTCGCTCGATCCCAGGGAGACATCCGCATACCCACATACCATATGCACATGCGAGGGAGGAGAGGAGAAGAGAGGAAAGAAAATGAGAGGCGCGAGGAGATGGACAGGATATGGGCATGAGAGGAGAGGCGAGGAGAGGAGCCGAGAGAACTAGGTGAAGAGGCGATTGGAGGGAAGGGAGGAGAGGAGAGGAGAGGAGAGGAGAGGAGAGGAGAGGAGAGGTAGGGAAAGGGGAGGAGAAGCGATGAGAGGCGAGGGAGACGGAGAAGGAGGAGAGTAGAGGCGAGGATTGGGAGAGAGAGAGAGAGAGGGAGAGAGGAGAGAGAGAGAGAGGTGAGAGAGAGAGAGGTGAGAGAGAGAGGAGAGGAGAGGAGAGGAGAGGAGAGGAGAGGAGAGGAGAGGAGAGGAGAGGAGGGGCCGCGCCGGCGGAGGGGGAGAGGAGGAGGGGGAGCAGGCTCCGTCCCCCCGCGGGGCAGGGAGGGCAGATGCGAGGGGCTGGGGCGGAAGGGACTGCGTCTGGGGAGGGGCGCCAGGGGCTCCTCCTCCTCCTCCTCCTCCTCCTCCTCCTCCTCCTCCTCCTCCTCCTCCTCCTCCTCCTCCCCCCCCTCCTCCTCCTCCTCCTCCTCCTCCTCCTCCTCCTCCTCCGCCCCCTCCTCCCCCTCCTCCCCCTCCTCCGAGCGTTCTGCGGAAGGTCCCGTCTCCCGGTCCCGGTCCCGGCCCCGGCCCCAGCCGCGGCTGGTCCCAGGCAACGTTATGGGGGATGGGCTCGGGGGGGAGCCCTGAGATCCTGGCGCCTCCGTTTCTTCGAGCCCGACGCTCTGCCCCGGCTTCGGGCCCCAGGAGCCTCACGGATCGCGCCGGCTCGAAAGATGCAGCAGAATCACGGGGGTCTAGGCTTCCGGTCGCAGTGTTTGGTGATGCTTCCTATACGTTTGCAGCTTCGGATCTCAGGGGGATGCGCCGACCGCCGATCGCCCATTGATCGCCGATAGCGGACCCGATGGCCCGGCCCGCCCCCAGGAACGTGCGGATGCGTGACCGGGGGGCCTGTCGCCGATCGGGCGGCGATGCATCGCCGGTGTCGGGTCGGCGTTTCCCCCGCTGAGCTGGTGCTCCCCTGTCGTTGTCCCTCAGAGGTGCTGGCAACGGAGCAGGGACGCCCGCGTGCACGAGGTCAGCACCGGTATCGATAGAACGCCTTGCGCGAGGGTTCATCACAGGAGGGCCGCCTCCTGGCCTGGGGAGAGCAGGCTCAGGCACAGGGCCGGGCGCGCAGTTACGTCCTTTTCGGACTCTCCAAGGATGCGGGGGGGTCAGCACGCAACTCCTGGGAGGCTGCATTCAGCATCGGCGCTGGTATACCCACTGTGGAAAACTGGCCTGATCTCGCGGAATCCCCGTTAGTCTGGCTTGTTCCCACGTGATCCGGATGAATCCAGTTTGATCCGATGTAGTCCTGAGTTCAATCCCGCCTCATCCGGCTCAATGGCTATTCCATCGGGTTGAACAGCTGAATAGCTCTTGATCGTTCTAACGAAGACATCCCAGCAGTTGCATCCTCAGGGGGTAGGCACGGTCGAACCGGAGGGTTCCAAAGGGGGGTTTGGGGGGAGGGGGTTTTCCAGAGAGCCCCCCAGGGGCCTCGGAACCTCGTCAAGACAGGCGGGGGCGCGAAGCCCTTGGGGGACGCCTCCTGGAAAACCCCCTTCCCGAAAACCCCCCTGTGGAACCCTCCGGTCGAAGAAGTGGGATCCGCACGAGCATAGTGTTGCGGAGGTCCGCGCGCTCCACGCGCCGGCCCCCGCCTCGGGACCTCGAGTCTCGACCCTCTCGATTCTCGAACCTCGTCCTCCTCTCGATCCCCGAGCCTCGATCCTCGACCTTCTCTAGCCTCCCGCCTGGAGCATCGGCCCTCGAGTCTCGATCGCCGTTGCACATCCTCAGGACGTGAGGTTCTCGGCATATCAAGCATGCAGGGGCCGTCGGGTCTGAGAGCCCGCTGTTTGGCGGCGGTAGTTCGTCCCAGGCCTCCCGCGGCCTACTGGAGGCGCGTGCGCTTTCCAGTAACGTCTCGGCGGAAGCCCAACTTGCAAACGCTGTTGTTGGAGACGGAAGCGGGCGCGGCGAGGGGGAATGTGGGAGGGGACGGGTGGTTGAAGGACCAGGACGAGGAGGACGGGGCGAGGACGAGGTTGCAGAGTGCACAAATGGCATGGTGCCAGGAGGTCTGATGTTTGATTCCGTTGCGCGCCACGTCCCCTCACATCCGACATCGCAGGACAAAAAAAAACAAACAAAAAAAACGTCGTGAGACAGCAGCCCCCGCCGCTGCGCGGCATCTCTCGCGGTTGGCTGGATCAAGTGAGGGCCCAATTTGGCGCTCGAGGCGGGACAAGAACGCCAGTTGTGAATGTGTGTTGCGTCGCCAGGGCCTCGGGGTTCCGGCCACCCCCAGCGCGCCTGCCTCAGGTCCCTCCTGGACCGCTACCGGAGCGCATTCTGACCTGCACTTAGAGGCGGACACGGCCGCGGCGACTACGTAGCAGGGAGTTGCCAGAAGTGGTCCTGGCCCAGAAGTGTCCACAGCTTTTCGCGCCAGCTTGGAGCCCCTAGGGCTCCCTGGGCCTCGCGAGGAGTGCTCCAGAGACCATGTGTGCCCCACCCGGAATCCTGGGGTCACCTTGGGCCAGGAACATTGTAGGCAACACCCGAATGAGGGCGCCCACACAGGCTTGGGGGTGCGGAGTGCCTCAGACTCGCCCGTCTCAGTGACCAGTCGGGCTCGGAGCGACGCTGTGTGTGCGCATTGCCATCCACATAATATAGGTGGCGAGTCGTCGCGATAGCAGGCAGAGCTGTTTCCGGCCGCATAGAAGAACATAGTCGTACAGTGCAGACCTTGGTCGATCATCACAGGCCCCTGCAGTGGTACATGCAGCCTTCCCCCATCAGCCTACTCCTCCTCCTCCTCAACGCGGTCAGGCGACGCCAGCTTTCCATGGGTCCAACCCGATCTGGTCCTTCTCCCCTCATCATCGACCGCGGAACGGCGGGCCTGGCCGACGCGCGCGCGCGGGGGGGGGCGCCGCCCAGGATCTACGGCAGGCTGGGTGTTGTCCTGGAGGAGACCCGCGCGGGAGGGCACACCGTCCGTTGCTTTGCATCTTCGGGGGACTCATCTTGTCCGATAAACGGCATCAGTGTCTTGCATTCCGGCGTGGGATCTACGCGGCTTCGACGTGAGTTCGGCACAGATTCAGCACGGATTCGACACGGATTCGGTGGTCGCAATGGATGCGATACGGATGGTTGGCGCGATGGGAAAGACGAGGTCCCCCAAAGATGCAGCACACCATCCGAGGCCAGGAGTCACGCAGGCCCACCGCTTGGGGGACCGATATCTCCAGGCCTCCCAAATAGGGTCAAAGTACTTAGATGAGGGCGGGAGATCGCGCCGCGTCGCCGATGCATCGGCTATGCGGCACGTTATGGGCTCGATGTTATCCACGCCGACGTCGCCGATGCGCCGCCGCCGTCGCGGATGTATCGAAGATGCGGCGCGATCTTCCGACCTCACCTACTCAGACCCTATCTGGTAGGCCTCAACGTCCCATGGCCCCAGGAGGCAGTGGCCGTGGATGCCATTGACGCGTCGCGTATCTCCTCGCCAGTCCATCCAGGAAAGATGCCCGGGCGAGTTGCGTTGGTCAGGAAGGTGTATGGGGCGAGCAGTCGTTCAAAGAAGGGGACAGCCGCCAAAACGAAGCTCTGGATCCGTCCGAGCAGACCCAGGAGTGAACCGCGAATGCCTTCATTGGTCTTTCGACGTGGGGGCCTCTTGGCAGCCCACTTCGGCCATCTTTGGGGCTCCCTGGGGCAATTCTGGGAGTCCTGGCGGCCTCGTGGGGCCCTCTTGGGAGCCTTTCAGGCACTCTTGGAGGACATCGGGCAAGAAGATGGGGGCGCGGAATTCAAGTTCGGTCCCCCCGTCGGAGCTCGAATGTTCGACTCTCTGGGGCCTCTTGAATCGCTCTGGGGACGCTCTTGGGGACATTCGTGGCAGGGTTGGAGCCTTTGCGGGCCCCTCTCGGGGCTCGCGTGGGGAATCTTCGGAATCTCCTGGTGGCCTCAGAAGCCTACAGTCGGCCCTGATTAGTAGGTCGACCTTGCCAAAACAAGGGTAATTACCCTTGTGTCCTGTGTCTCGCGACCCATGCCCCCTACATTATTATGGCTATGTGGCCCTCGGAAGGATCTTGTGTCCTCTCACGTGTCTTGTCCAATCAAGCCCGACTGTATCGGAGGCGAAAGGGCGAGAATGCCAGGACATTGGAACGCCACAGGTCGTTCAAGCTTGCGGGCCTCCCACGGACACCACTGGGGGGCTAGTGGCCACTTGCGGCCGTCTCGGGGCGGTCCTGGGAGCTCGTGGAGGTAGTTGGAGGTCGTGTTGAGTTGCATTGTGTCAGCTTGGGCTATCAGGGACCACATTCGAGCAATCTTGGGCAACACTGGATGCTCTAACGCGTCGGCCTTCCCCCTCCCCGTCCAGACCCAGGGGAGGGGTAGGGGGAGGCACAAGCCACCCCCGAAGGACGGCCGTCTCGCTCCCCCCCTCCCCCCCTCCCACCACAGCAATAGCACCCAGGACTCAGCATGCGCAGGGGCCGTCATCGACAAATTTCGGCCACCACAGCAGACCCCAGACAGCTGCGCGACGCCCGCGCGGTGCGCCGCGCGTGCCAGGTCACCAACATCATACCTGTCAAACAGCAGTGGAAAGTGATCGCGGGGCGCCCGCCCATGATCAAAGTTTTGCCGCAGAGTTTCTTCGTATTGTTTGTGTGACGGGGATGATGGGCCTGCCAGCCCCCCTCCCTCGTCCCTTTTTATAGAGCTAACGACAAGCGATCGACTGGTGCTCGCGCATGATCCAGATGTTGCCGCAGTGTTCATTTTGCATTGTTTTTTGGCAGAGGTGCTGGGGGGGGTTGACATGGTTCCAGGTTCGAAACAGTGTTTGCTCTTAGCGATTGTTTCTTTCTCTTCTGAGGTAACTGGGCCCCGGAGTCAGTGCGGCCGGCTTGCCGCCCATAGCCACCGCTTCTCTTCTAAGGTAGTTGGACCCCAGAGTCGGTCGGGCCAGCTTGTGGCCGCTCGTCGCCGCCGTTTCTCTTCTAAAGTAATTGGGCCCCGGCGTCGGTGTGGCTCGCTTGTGGCCGCCCGTCGCCGCCTGTCGTCGCCGTCAGTCGTCGTTGTTTGTTGCGCCGCGTTGCCTTGCATGGAGTTGCATTGTGTTGCTTTTGCGTTGCTTTGCACTGGTCTGCATTGGTTTGCATTTCTGTGCATCGGTTTGTATAGTGTTGCCTCGCTGTGCATCGTGTTGCATCGCTTTTGATTGCGTTGCTTCGCATTGCGATGCATTGCTGCGCATTGATTTGCAACGCATTGTTGTGTATTGCTTTGCGCCACATTGACTGCACCACGTGGATTGCACCACCTAGATTCCACCACATTGATTGCGCCACCTAGATTGCGCCGCATACATTTCAAGAAATCAGTGTTTGGGATCCACGCTGGCTAGCATTAATAAGGAAAAGTGATCCACTTCTCAACGGAAACAAGCTGTCTCGATCATTCCCACCCGCCCTCCCGCCATGTAACTAGCACCCGGGACTCAGCCAATGCAGAGGGCTCAATCGGATGGACATCGGTTGGGAACCTATTTTGACGCTAGGGGTGCCACGCTCGCGAGGTGCGCCACGCCTTCCAAATGCTCTGCACGCAAAAGATGCACCAGGTGCCCCAGGGGCCTAGGTGCGCCGGTTGCGCCAGATTCGCCCCGTGCGCAATATTGCCACTTGCTCTATCGGTGCCAGGTGCCACACAGATTGCGCTAGGTGCGCCAGTGCACGTGGTAGCATTAATCGGGCAAAATGTTGCCCGCCCCGGTCACTTCTCTTCCCTCCCCCATACGTCTCCCTCTTCCCGCCTCTTCCCTCCCTCCCATCTACTCCTCCCTCCCCTTCCCATCGTCCCCCCCTCCCTTATCATCATCCTGCGTCCTCCTCCCCATCCCTCTCTCCTCCCTCTTCGCTCTTTTGTTACTCCCCGCTCATCCTTCCCCCCTCCCCTCTCCTCCTTTCTCCCTCTTCGGCTCGCAGGAGCGGGGCGAGTCGTTCTACAACCCGCTCATCCCGCCGCTGGTCGCGGAGCTGAAGGCACGTGGCCTCTGCAAGGAGACACACCCCCCTTGTTTGGTTGTCTCTCTACCTCTCTCCCTCTTTCGTTCGTTCTCGCTCTCTCCCTCTCTGTCCATTCTTGGGCACTTTCCCCGTCGTCTCTCGTTGCTCTTCCTCCTGGGATGAGAGAAGGGGAAGAGGGCGAAAAGGCAGGGAACGCGGATGATAAGGGGGAGGGGGGAGAAATGAGGGAAAGGTGAGGGGGGAGGATGAGAGGAGGAATAGGGCGAGGAGGATGAACATGATATTGCGGGGGAGGAGGAGGAGAGATGAGGTTGGGAGGAAGACGAGGAGCAAGAGGGATCGCGCCGCCACGTGAGGATGGAAGGGCAGTGGACGGAAGTGATGCTATTAAGTGGGGGTGTCGATTGTCGGCGGCGTTGTGCGGATCGGCGCGGCGAGCAGGCGCGCGCGCGCGTTTTCGCCCTTGCGGAAAGTAGCAGCAGCAGGAAGCACGAGAAGGGAGCAGGAGGACGAATGAGGCGAGGATGACAGAGTCGTATGTCGAGGAATACAGGTAGGAGGGCGCAGGACACGAAGAGAACGCACGATGAGCGAGGAAGGAAGGAGCCTCTGGGGCGTTTTCTCGTCGCTCATCGCATCTCGTCGTCGTCTTCACCCGTCCCCTTGCCTCGTTTCTCCTCCTCAGTCCTCCTCCTCCGTAGCCATTGCTGGCCCATGCTCGGCGCGCGCCGAGCTGGTCGCGGCTGGCCGCTCGCGCGGTCGTTCTCTCTTGTGAGGTGGGGGCGGAGGGCCTTCTGGAGCAGATGGCGGCTGTGCCGATCGCCCAGGCGTCGTTTGGCACGGCCTTGGGTGCACTCGGTGGCCAGTGTGGCCAGAGCGGCACCAAGGCCACCGCCGCTGTGGTGGCGGCTGCAGCGCGCAGAGCCGCCAAGGGCATCGCGGCAGGCGCAGCGGCAGCAGGCGCGGACGGCGCCGATGGCGGCTACGTCAAGAAGTGCGAGGTGGTGCAGCTCGAGGTGTTCCTCGACGCGATCAAGGGCGCGATGAACCCATCGGGTCCCGTCTGGGCCCAGGACGCCAAGACCATCCTGCGCGAGTGTGGAACCCCGAACTTTGCTTCCCGTGTTGGGAGGCTGAGCAAGCTGCGCAATGTCACAGGGCTTCCAGGTGTCAGATTGGCGAGGGAGGTGCACTCACATCTCGCCGGCCCCGATGCTGTCAGCACGGGAGACGGGTTTACGGAGCAGGAGTGCTTTCCGGAGACGGACGTCGACACCCTCGAGATGGAGGCCGTGGGACAGGGTGTAGCAGAAGGAGAAACAGGTGTCCAGGCTGAAACGGTCTGCGCTGCAAGTCGCCGCGCCTTGCCTTGACGCATGCACCTGCAAGATGGAGGCAGTGACGGAGAAGTTCCAGCAGAAGGACACGCAGGTGCTCGCATAGAACGTCTCCGACGCGGAGCTCGAGGGCAAGGTCGCCGAGCTGCCCGCGGCCATGCAGACCTTGTTGGAGCTGCTCGCCGCGCGTAGGCCGGGCGCGGACACCCTCGAGGCAGAGACCGCGAAGGAGAAGGAGCAGCAGAAGGAGGAGCAGTTGATGCCGAGGGCCGAGGTGACTGGCTGCCACGCGGCTGGCGCTGAGCCCAGCCCAGAGAGGACTCGAAGGCCGAGTGCGCCAAGAAGCGCGACGCGGTGAACCAGGCGGTCACGAGCGTCAAGCAGGCGAAGCTAGCATTGGCCAACGCGGGGGCCAAGTTTGAGGAAGCCTTTAACGCGATGGTGGGTGACGTCTCGATTCGGGCCGAGGCCGATCAGCAGGAGCCGCAGGAGATCCTGGGGAAATTCGGCCTCTGAGGCGCTGGGCCGCTGCAGGCTTAGCCCGCTGACAGGGCGACCGCGCAGACGCCTTGGAGCGGGCCATCCCCCTGTCAATAGGCATCGCCAGCGGTGTGACATGTGACCGGGGAGAGGTTGCGCCTTCGGGGATTCCGCGGCTGTTCCCCCATCCACGTCCGTGTGTTGAGGAGTTACGTGGGTGGACAAGCAAAAGCATCATCCTCCTCCTCCCTCCTCCTCCTCCTCCTCCTCCTCCTCCTCCTCCTCCTCCTCCTCCTCCTCCTCCTCCTCCTCCTCCTCCCTCCTCCCTCCTCCCTCCTCCCTCCTCCCTCCTCCCTCCTCCAGCCGCTTCAGGAATCACCCCCACCCTACGCGGCATACACACACTGTACCATGACTTTACACTCTTCGTGACTTTCTGGGCCTCCCAGAGCTTCCTCGGGGCGAGGAGCCAGGGGCCGCGCTCGCCCTCTTGGGGCCCATGGTTTCTGCTTTCGTGAGACTGGCGCTTTACAACCCTCTTTCGCTTGTGGAAGTTGGCAGAATACAGCAGGTCTGGAAAGAATTGAATGTGGATATCGCAGCACTACCAGGCACACGCCTCCGTGCCCCAGCCGATCGACCTGTTCAGGAAGCGGCAGTGGACCGAGGTTTTTCGATTTCAGCGGGATGGACATGTGCCCCTTTCAGTAACAGATCGGCGGGATGCATGTTGATGATTGGCAGGAAATTTCAGCGTAAGCACGTACGTGAGATTCATACACCGCCGAAGAGTGCTCAGGGACGCGGACTGGCGGTTCGACTGGTCAAGGGATCCATAGACCTCACTATCATCCTGGCCTACCTCCCGCCGATCAAAGATGAGAATGCCAGCAGACGGAAAGCTCTGGAGAAGGGCTCGAAAGAATTGGCTCGATGGATGATTGCATGCACGAAAAATACCCCGACACGATCCACTCCCATTGTGCTCGGGGACTTCAACACAGGCTTCGGGTACCGCAACGGGCTGCCGATCTCTCTGGGTACTCTGAGCTTGGGGCGAACTGAGCAGGTTCCGAATGTAGGAGAGTACCATCTGAGCAACCAGAACCTCATCGGGGACGTTCTCTGGGATGAACTGATAGTGCCTCAGGACTTTATGGACGTAGGCTCCCACTACCCACAGGCGGGCCCCACCTTCTACGGCCACGACGGGGCCACTAGCACGGTCGACCACATCCTGGTCCCCCTCGGCATTCAGGAACAGATTCGGAGATGCGTTATACCCTGGAAAGCGGCCAGGCGGCTGCAGCTCATACCCGACGCCCGCCCTCGGGATCATGTTCCGATCATCCTGGAATTCACGGCCTACCAACATAGGGCCCCCCTGGAGACAACACATATGCGATGGGATAGGGACAAAATCGCTCTAGCACTACAAGAAGCGACTTACCGACTCGAGTTCCAGGAGGCCTTGGAGAGTAAGTTTCGGGACTGCCAGGAGCTAGACCGCCACAATTGCAGCGGAGATCTAGACGCCTACTGGCAGCGCTGGACCACGCTCGTTCGAGAAGTGGCACAATCCTTTTTTCAGGCGAAACCTAAGGAGGTCCCTCCGCAGGTAAGTCAAATGCGAGCCCGTCGTGATGAGCTGGCACGGCTACGAGCCGAGGCTCGCGAGAGACTTCGAGAACAGGGAGACGAGTATGCCGAAGTACTGAGGTCTAACTCGATCGACTTTCCCGAATATACCGAACTTCGAGAGATTCGACTTGAACTCCGACGACTGATGCGACAAGAGCGAGCCGACCGAAGGAAAAGGATCGAATATGAAATTCACGAAGCCGCCCGACACCGACGATTTGCTGAAGTGCATCGCCTTTTCTTCTTGCTTGCGGAGCGCTGTGGAGGCCCTCGTAAGCGCAGATACGGAGTTCCCCAGCCTAAGTCCGCCAAGGATGAGCGGCTTCGCTTCCTGGAGGGAAGCCCGCAGGACGGCGGCATGAGCGCAGTGCCGATTGACTTCGCTGCAGAGCTCGAACCCTCCCCCACCTCCTTTGACGACCTCACCTTCGAGGAATATGATAGCTACTGGCACTGGGCCGAACGGGATATGAAACAGACACTTAAGTTCCTCCAGAAACGTCCTAAACGCCGAGCGGCACCTCCATGGAGTTTACCCTCGGAGATCTCCCTGATGGCTGCGGACGCCAGCTATGTTTCAAAAGGGGATGAGCCGAGACTCGGACTAGGCGCTGAACGTGTAGGTGAACTACCCCCCTCTCTGGCTAGCGAACATCTCGGAGCTATCCATTGGTGGTCTCGGGCCCTCAAGCGCACCCCGAAGCTTGGACATCTTTCCTGGGGCTACCCACTGAATAAATCAAATGGAAAGCAGGGACCTGGAGGCAAACGACTCATTCATGTTTTCTGTCCGTACTGGAAGGGCTTTTACGGTGCCCTACTGAGACGGGGCTTGAGGTCGCGGACCCCGAACTGGCCGGCCGAATTTCATGGCTTTTTACTTGGGCGACGGCGTGAGGACGCCCTCGCAGTTCAGCTCAGCGTTGGAGCTCGCCTCCGCCGCAGGAAGACCAGCCATCTCAATAACCTCCATGACATGTCGAATGCGTTCGCCTCCACGACCCCGCAGGCAAGGCAGCAGGCAGTGCAGGAGCTTGTTAGCGAGCAGGATGCGCCTTTTGTTCTACATCGAGCCGCTCATGCGGCCATCTTCTTGAGTTTCGCCGAAGGAGGGGAGGAGCCATGGAAGGAACCACAAAACTTGGTAGTACGACACGGGTGCGGAGGATTGATGGGATCGAGTGAAGAGCCCGTGATCTTCGCGAAGATCATGCAGCAACCTTTCGAGGAGTGGAGGAGACGTCGCCCTCCCCACCTCATTCTTCCTTTGAAGTGTGGCATCTTCGCGAGGGAGCTCGACGGAGGAGCCACGGTGTTTGCCGATGATATCTTTGATAAGCTACCAGTACCGACGGGAGAGGCTGGAGAGGCCCATCTCCTAACGAGTCAAAGCGATGCTCATTTAGATACCGCCCTTCAAGAAGTAGGACTACTACAAAATAAGGGGAAAAGGGAGATCGTTCCTAGCTTTCATGCCCGACACGAAAACAAACGATTCAAGGAACTCACCACGAAGGGGAAGGTGCTAGCTAGAGCTCGTTATCTCGGAGGTCGATACGCTTGGAATCTCGCGACAATGGAAGAACTCCAATATAGATGCTCGGCGATGAAGACGGGATGGGCAAAAATGGGGAGGCTGTGGAGCAGCAGAATCTCAAACAAGCTTAAGATTCTAGCATTTCAAGGACATGTTATCGAAGCGGGTCTGTCAGCAAATGAGCCCTACGTTTTCACGGCAAAGATGGCCGACCAGATTGATAGCATTATCGCCAAGTATTTGCGCACTCTCGAGAGAGGGCAGGCCACCGATTGGACGGGAGCCCACCCCACGAGTTTGCCACATGCCGTTATTCGACGAAAGTGGAAGGTCATCCCTACTAGGTGTGCGCAGGCCTCTCGTCGATTCGCTTGGGTGCAAAAAATGGCCCGTGATGCCAAGGCCCACGCCCAGGTTATCGCGGCCCTCTGGGGAACCCTGGGACGCGGCCCGCCTGCTCTGGACCCCCGTGGACACCTCACCCGGCAAGCCCCACCGCTAGCGCACCAAGTAGAGATCGATCTATGGAGTTTCGCAGGTATTAGTGGGACGGAGGATTTTCACGAGAGGTGGAGGGATTGGGATTATTGTTATTTGTCGCACTTTTTCACAATGACGAGGTGCGGGACGCATTCCTCGCAGTGGACGCCTCGATTTTGAAGGCAGCTATCCCCACTGAAGGGGAGGCCGCCTTCTTCCGCCGCCTTCGAGGGCCAGCTCGAGCCATGGAGCCCCCGACGGAGGAGAGTCTCACCGCCTTTGTGTGCACGCTGAAGGACGAGCGCGGCATGCTGCGCTCACAAACATTTTCTTCGAATGGGGCACTCACGTCACACATGTATAATTCCCGAGGGGGAGAGCACGGCCGACGCAACCCACTCTTCACATGCGTTATCTGCAATATGTGTCCATGGTGTAAACAAACATTCTCTACGAAAGACAGTACTCGTCAACATGTTCGCACGGCATGGGATAGCAGAGTATGTAGAATGGGACGTACTGCATTTCAATGGTCATTCACACCTCCGAGTGAAAATCGCTGCCTGCATTGCGATATCACATTCGATACGATCGAGCAGTATAATGATCACGTTACATCACACCACCTTCCACGTCCTCCGCCCGTCGCAGCTTTTCCTCGAGAGCGAGGTGCTGGGCCCACCGCCCCTCGGACGGGACTAGCAGCGCGTGGGGACCGAGATGTTCCCCACCGAGGGTGCGCCGAGGGTGGCCGAGCAGCCGCCGAGGCGCGTGAGGGCCAAGAACGACGGCCAGACCAAGACGGACCTCGGGTTCAAGGGCGGACAGAAGACGTTGCAGGTGCTGATGCTGAAGTTCCTCCTCCAGCTGGGCCAGTCCAAGCGCAACATCGAGGGGGTGGTTTTCGACTGCCTGATTCTCGACGGCACCAGCCAGGAGGCGAACGCCATGAGCGCCCAGGGTGTACGCTACAACGAGGCCGTCACCGCTTCAGGCAAAGGCCACAATCACGGGCCTCCACACCTGTGGATCTTCGGCGGCCTCCTCACGGCACTCCTGCAGCGCAAGGACGCGGTCGGAGCCGCCAACGCCAAGAAGCTCGTGGAGATGAAGCAGAGCATCGAGCAATGGGACGAGGCGAAGCGCGGGGACATGATCAAATTCTGCAAGATGGATCGCTGCTACGACGTCAACAAACGCAAGCTCATGCTGCACCTGCACCCAGAGATCCGACAATGCATCATCGACGCGATGATCCAGACGGGCGCAGAGTGGAAGCAGGGTCGAGTTCCCGTCAGCCACATGGAGCGCGAGCTGCAGGACTGGCTGGAAGCTTTCACGAAAGAGTGAGCCGACTACTCCAGGCCGCAACACGTCCAATTAGCCCCCCGCCCTCGGTGTGCACTGCCTTAATCTCTGGTCCCTCTCGGGGCGACCTGGGCCTTGGGCGGGGGGAGAGGGCTGATGACGGGACGTGGAATGACGGCACGAATGGCACAGTGGATGACTGGGGAAATTTTGTGTCAATGAGCTATGGTATGACGGACGCGAACTTTCAGCGGCCTGATGAGACCTCGGCTCGACTTCTCGACACGGGCGTTACAGACTCGAGCCCGCTGACTACAGCCTCACGACCGACGATTTCGAGGCCCACATCTACTCCCTCGAGGCCTACGGCTTCGGCTCCTCCTCCTCCTGCTCCTACGGCCCCGAGACCGACGACCTCGGCGCCTACCTCTTTCCCTTCGAGGCCTGCGGCTTCGGCACCCCCCTCGGCGTCCTCGAGGCCGTCTCGCGCTACGGGACCTAGGCCGGCCTCCTCTGAGTGGGTAGGTAGAGGTTCGGAGGCTCTTGATTCAGTATGTGTTAGAGAATATTTAAAAATCCGCCAGATTCTCCCAGGGAATCCCAGTTTCGAGAAGTTGTTTCATAGCGCTCATATTATTAGACTCGCGAGGCTGGAATTCGAGCGAAGAGTAGTCTTTCTCACCCCCCGCCCTCCTCGTCCTCCTGGGTACCTGGGGCCTTGACTCGTTCCCCTTCGTTGTCGCGTCGCCCTCCCTACTCTTCGCTGGGCCCCGTCTTGGGTAACGCGTGCCCTTGGCGGTCCTCGGGGCGGGACGCTAGCTTTCGGCGATGCTCCGAAGGTCCACCTCGCCCCGCTTTCCGTCCCCTTCGGGATTTTCCTCCGAACCTAGAGTAGATCGAGGTAGCTCAGTCGACCAGAGGTTCTTCGGAGCGCTTGTCTTGTCTTGTCCTCCCTCCTCCCTCCCTCCTCCCTCCTCCTCCCTCCTCCTCCTCCTCCTCCTCTTCCTCCTCCTCCTCCTCCTCCTCCTCCTCGCCCTGACCAGGTGGGGTGAGAAGAAAGGATGGGGCCCAGACGAGGGAGTATACTGCAGCCTGGAGGAAGCATGCCCTCCCCCTACATGGGTTTTCTCGTACGTGGGCGCACGCGTCAATACGTTCCTCGTTGTTTATCAGTGTGCCCCGGTCTTCTAGACATCGAAACAGCATACCCCTAGAAATCCCAACCCTGAACCCATCGAACTTTTTAGGCCTCAGGGCCCTCGGCTTACCAATGGGATATCCGATGCTGAAATTATGTTGTAGCTTGGCGCGAGGACACTACCCCAGAAGAGTCACCGGCTTGACAAACCAGGTAAATGAGTTGGCGCTCCATCGGCAAACCTGGTAGGTGGGGATCGGAGCACGGTGCATTTGGCTTACCGTTGCGTGTCGTGTTTTCGAACTTTCATGTTTTCAACATGGTTCTGGTTTAGGGCATAAACAACAGAAGCGGAGCAGAGGAATAATGAATGGGAGACGGGGACGACGAGGATGAGGGGAAGGGAAATGGACAGGACACTTGGTGAGAATAGCACTGGATGGGGAGGCCTGAAAACAAGAGGAGGAGGAGGAGGAGGAGCAGCAGCAGCAGCAGCAGCAACAGCAGCAAAAGCAGCAGCAGGGGGAAAGCGATAATGGGGGAGGCGGGCAGGAAGAGGACGAAAAGGGGGGGAGGGAAAAGCTGGCGGAGGAGGGCGGGGAGGAGCGCGAGGACGAGAGGGAAGAGGAGGGCCGGGAGGACCAGGACGAAAAGGGGGGTGCGTGGGGGAGGTGGAGGAAGAGGCGCCTCCTCGCCCTCTGCCCGCGGTCGCCTGCCAGGAGAGCGACGGTGCCATCTGTTTCTTCGTGCCTCGGGTGGCCGACATACCGCTCATGGCCCCCGCGCGGCCCTCTGTGTTTGCTGTGTTCTCGCGGTCCACATCGCAGCGCCAGCCCGCGTCCCCCCTTTTTTGTCCGCCTTGGCGCCCAAAGAGAGTCACGTTGCCCCCCCGATTGTTCTCAGCCCTACCCTCCTGATGCCTCAGTCTCGCCCCTACTCTCCTCTCGCCTCGATGTCTGTCTCTGCCGTCTGTGTGTGCTCGTGTGCGACTGTGTGTGTGCGTGTTTGTGTGTGTGCGTGTTTGTGTGTGTCTGTGTGTGTCTGTGTGTGTTTGTGCGTGTCACTGTGTGTGCGTGTTTGTGTGTGTTGTGTGTGGTGGTGGTTGTGTTTGTGTGTGCTCGTGTGCGTTTGTGTGTGGTGTTGTCTGTGTGTGGTTGTGTGTACGTGTTTGTGCTTGGATGTGGATGTGTGGGTGGGTGTGTGTGGTTGGGTGTGCATGGGTGAGCGTGGGTGTGCGTGTGGTTGTGTGTGTGTGTCTGTGTGTTTGTGTGTGTGTGCGTGCGTGCGCTTATGCGCTCACATTCTCCCGGCAACCTCGGGCAAGGGGAAGTCGGTTTCTGGTTCTCTCTCCCTCTCTCTCGCTGGGTGTCTCTGTCTCTCTCTCTCTCTCTATCGCTGGTTTTCCTTGTCTCTCTCTCTCTCTCTCTCGTTCTCTATATGTATGTGTGCAATTCGTTATCCCTCGGACACTATACACACATATATATATATATATATATATATATATACATATCGTTATCCATCTCTATCTCTGTCGCTCTCTCTTTCTTTCTCTCTCTCTCTCTCTCTCTCTCTATCTCTATCTCTATCTCTCTCTCTCTCTCTCTCTCTCTCTCTCTATATATATATATGTTTCGTTTCTTTTATGTGTATATGTAATGGCCTTCGGCCCATCCCGCCACCGTGCCCAGGTTGTGGGTATGAGGGGTATTAGATGGTCGTTGGGATCTCGTGGGAGACTTCTCGGGGGCCTTTTGGAAGCAGTTTTGAGGCCTATTGGGAGCTGTTTGGGGGTCTCTTTCAGGCCTGTTTGGGGGCCTCTTGAGGCCTCTTGGGCGCCTCTTGGGGCCTCCTGTGGGCCTCTTGTGCGGAAGCCTTTTGGGCCGTCTTGGGCGCCTCTTGGGCCGACTTGGGGCGTTCTTAGGCCGTCTTGGGGCCTTCGAGGATACCTTTTGGGCTGTCTTGGAGCGTCGGAAAGCAGAAAATGCGAGAATGCCAAATCCTTCAGAAGCCTCTTGAAAATTCAATGATGGTTGCCTCTCTTGGGGCCCTCGTGGAAGGCCTCTTGGAGACCTCTTTGGGGCGCGCTCTTCGCCCGTCTTGGAGCCTCCTTGGCTCCGGAAAAGTCACGCGCCAAGACGCGAGAAGCCCCGAGAGATTTGAGAGCGAGCGGCCTGGGTCCCTCATAGAATTCTCAGGAGTGAGGGGTGAGGCTCAGAGGATTAGGCAGAGGACCTGAGGACACGCCCACTCCGTGCCCAAGGGCACGGTGGCGGATCTATGTATACATAAATCGTTAGTGTTCTCTCTCTCTCTCTCCCTCTCTCTCTGCCGATCTCTCTATGTATGTATATATAGCACGTTCGCATATGAGAGGGGGGAAAGAGAGAGAGAGAGAGAACAAAAAAAGAGAGAGAGAGAGACGGAGACAGAGACAGCAAGGACCTTCCAACCCCTCGTACCCGACCATGTCCCCAAGCTCTATCTCCCTCTCCCTCTCTCCTCTTATTATTTTCCTCTGTCTCCCTCTCTCTCTCTCTCTCTCTCGCTCTCTTTCGCTCTCTCTCTCTCTCTCTCTACTTCTCTCTTTCCCTCCCCCCTCGGATCATCCCAGCTCAGATATGTGAAAATGTGTGTCTCTGTGTGTGTGCACAGATGCTTCTTCACGGCACGCCCGGCGGTGCCAGTTGTGGCTCAGGGCGCCAAGCGGTCGAGGCCACGCCCACGGGAGAAGAGGCGAGGCTGTCTCGAGCGCTTGCCTCTGTGGTGGGAGGGGAGGGGCTCCGGACGCCTCTGCGGCCTCGCGAGGCGTCGGAAACCTGTGCAGACAGGGCGTGGCGAGCCCGCTCTGCGTCGTGTTTTTTGGAAGCGTTCGCGACGTCGTTGACCCTCCTCGCCAATTGCAAGTGCTTCCTGCCTCCTGGTTGATTATGACCCTCCTGCTCCCCCCACCCCCAAGTTCGTCCTCGCCTTCTCTCGTCCGCATCACCTCCCCGTCCACCCCGACCCCGCCTCGCTACCACTGCATTTCTTGGCCGGCCATCTGCGTTGCAAGCGGTGGGTCATCTATGGTTCGTTCCTATTCGTTTGTTTTTGTCGCAGTTATTTCCACATTGTTAAGACGAATGTTGACAATATCGCCCGATGTGCAATTTGTTGAAGTGGGGGTGCAGCTGGACGGTGGACAAGATGTGGTAGCGCTGTCTTAGTGTGAAGTTCAGGAATATCGTCTTTGCGACGAGCGCGGTATTGTCAGTATGTATGTTGTGGAAGGGCCGTGTAGATCATGGATCAGTAACCGCATGCATCATGGTATCACCCTTTTCGCATGATAGCCGACTTGGTTTTCAAAGAACCGCAGGGAGCATGGCACGGAATGGTGGATTGACTGCGCTGGTGAGTGGAAAGGTTTCTTCGCCCCTCTGGAGGCACAGCAAGAGTCGAGGTCGCATAATCTAGGCCCGAGTTGATGGGGTCCGGGGTCTTGCCGCATCGCTGGTGCATCGGAGGTACGGCGCGATCAGGGGCACGATATTCACCATTGATGTCGCTGGTGCATCGGCGGCGCGCGAGACCCTCCGACGCCTCATGGCCCCAAGTGGCACATCTTCTTATTTTCACAGTACGACCGGACATGGTGGAACAACTGGGAGAAGCATTACCTCGCGCGCACGCACATCTGAACGGGCCCCGGCCCGCCCACGCCGCTCCTAAGGGGCCCGCCTGCAAGCGGACACGCGTGTCTTGTCTTGTCTTGTCTTGTTTTGTCTTGTCTTGCCCCTGCCTGACCAACTGATAGGCCATGAAGCCAGGCGGGGCTCGGCTCTACCACTCCTTTTCGCCCTCCCCGTCTCCAGCGTCCTTCTCCTCGTCTCTCGGAGGTGGATAGACCTCCTACCCTGACGCGTCGATTCAGGAATTGGCCGTTCTCGGTTTGCGAGAGAGCGTCGCTGCCATCATTTTTGCGGGTCCAGGTCCGTCGGTTTCGGTGCCAGGCCGTTTTTATTAAGAGGAGGTTTACTACAGGGAGGTTTGTCCACCGCCGAATCTCCATTCCTCCTCAGCCTCCCCCTTTCCTCTGCTACGCTCATCTCGCCCCACCTGCTGCCTCCTCCCACGGTGGGTTCGTCCCGAACAGGCCGTCAAGTCCGACGGGGGGTTCGGCTACGACTCCACCGATCTGGCGGCCATCTATCACAGGCTTTTCGTCATGCGCGCAGACTGGAGCCCTGCCCGGGGCCATGGGCGTGTGGCATCGCCGGTCGAAGAAGCCAGACGGAGGAGACAGTCTAGCGAGGTTTCTGCGGAGGCCCAAAAAAAGGCAAAACACGTCCACAAATTGTACAGTAGGGTTGCGCTCCCCCCTTGTTGCCTTCCTGCGGCACGTCTGTCACCGTGCCAGGGAAGCACTGTGCGGCGACGCTCAAAGCACCACCCCCCTCAAGACATGTGGCACCTCTCGTCCCTGACCCTCTCGGGATCCTCTTGGCCCGTCTCGGGCATCTCTTGCGCCCTGGTTCTGTCTTGCGCCATCTCGGGCCCCTCTCCGCCGTCTGGGGATCCTCTCGGGCCGACGTGCCCCTCTCGGGGTTGCCTTGAGACTTCTTGGGGGGGTCCTTCGGGCCCTGAGCTGGCTTGTGTTGGCAGCTCCTCCGCTTCTCCAGGGCATTACCGAAACGGCCGTGTGCCGAGAAGGCTAGGCGATGGGCATATTGACTAAACTCAGGAGATAAAGATTGACTCGAATGATCTGGGCCTTCTGAAGCAGGTCTGGACCTAAACGGTGTTTTTGGTGATTTGTGGGCCGTTTTCGTTTCGATTTCGTTTTGCGGTAAAGGCGGATTCGAGACAAAAGCGAGGGAAAACGAAAACAAAACGAAAACGAAAAACACCGTTTAGGGTCAGCTCTGTTCTGAAGAGCCTCTTCGACTTCTCTCTGGTGTCCAGATCCTCTCTGGCTGCGCTTGGGGTCTCCTGGGGAACTGCTGGGTGCGCCTTCCAGCAATGTTGGGCCATATTGGAGGTTTCGGCGTTCTTCCTGGGCCATCGTGAAAGTTTTTGAGAGCTTAGGAGAGTCCCAAGGAGGCGTTGGGCCGCCCAAGGAGCCTCGGGAGAAGGGTGCGATGCACGCGGGGAAGTATGAGCGAGCGGAGACGGGGGGAGCTTCGAAGATTTTCAAGTACCATGTCAGACAGCACTTTACACTACCGCGCCTCAACGTGCCAAGGGACACGGTAGCTGATTTCTTAAGATTTGGATCCCCGTGTGGAAGAAGCCAGACTTACAGAGGGGGTTGAGGAGGACGACGACGACGATGACGATGACGACGAGGATGGCGAGGATCAGCCGAGGAGGGGCAGAGCAGCAGGAGGCGTAGGACGAGGAGAGTGGGAGGAGGAGAGGAGAAGCAGGAGGAGGAACAGGAGCCAGAGAGGAGGATGACAGGAGGAACAGGAGAATGAGGGAGTAAAGGGAGAAACAGGAGAACGACGGTGGCGAGTGTGAAGAGCAGCAAGATGAGGGGCGCCAGACGCTCGACGTTATTGGAGAGACCTGGAGAGCAGATCTAGAGTGGTTAGGGCCTACGTCGGAAGAAGGAGCCTGTTTCCTTGGCCTCTCCTCCTCCTCCTCCTCCTCCTCCTCCTCCTCCTCCTCCTCAGCATCAGCAGCCTCAGCATCATCATCATCATCATCATCATCATCATCATCATCATCATCATCAGCATCATCATCATCATCATCATCATCATCAGCAGCAGCAGCAGCAGCATCATAATCCTGCTCCTCCTCCTCCTTCATGCCTCATCCCTGTGTGTCCGTGTCCTCCTTTTGCTCCTCTTTCTCCTCCTCCTCAGCATAATAAGCATCGTCAGCAGCAGCAACACCACCACTGCTCCGCCTCCCTCATACCTCATCCCTGTGTCATGTTCCTCCTCTTCCTCCTCGTTATAGATTCCTCCTCCTCATCCGTCATCATCATCAGCAGCACCATCATCAGCACCATCATCAGCAGCAGCATCATCAGCATCGTCAGCATCAGCATCAGCATTATCATCATCAGCATCATCAGCATCATCATCATCATCGACATCATCATCATCAGCATAATCAGCATCATCAGCATCATCATCGTCGCCATCATCATCGTTAGCATCAGCACCATCATCATCAGCAGCATCATCAGCATCGTTATCATTAGCATCAGCATGATCATCCTCATCATCATCGTCATCAGTAGCATCATCAGCATCATCAACATCATCCCCATCATCATCGTCATATTCATCATAATCATCAGCACCATCAGCAGCATTATCACCACCATATTCCTGGATGGGTCCTCCTCATCTCCTTCCCTTCAAGATATTCCAGCCTCGTCTTGCTCCTCAGGGAGGGGTGCACTGGCAAAGGATTATGGTGTGAATAGGCTGCTGTAGCAAAGAGGAACTTGAGTGCTATATTATATTATGGCATATGGTTTCGCATGTCCACGGTTCCTCACACATACCCACGACATGAGGTTCGCCGTTACCGTTTCAGAGGTAGGGTTTGTGAACATCGGCCCTCACCTTCGCCGCATCACTTCGGGGAAAGGGCACCCTGAAGCCGCGCACCAAAGGTCACTCTTGCCTGGCCAGCAACCCCCCGCAGTCGGGCCGAAAGGTGCCTGCCTTGATTGATGGGCGGACCGAAAGGCGCGCTCCTCGCGTTGTGGTGCTGGCTTCGCCCCAGATCGCGCCTTCGTTCCGAAAGCTTTGGCGACCGCTGGTTTCGCCGACTGCTGGTTTCGCCCGGCTTGTTTGGCCGCCCGGCGAAACCAGCTCCGTCGGCGAAACCATTTCCGTCGGTGGAACCAGCTGCCGTCGGCGAAACCAGCTGCCGTCGGCGAAACTGCCCGACCCTACCCGCCCGCCTTGGTCCGCCCGCCCGATCCGACCCGCCCGTTAGGGTTCGCGCGTGCTCGGTCGAGCGCGCCCCACACTTTAATGTCCCGCCCGCCCGACCCGACCCGCCCGTCAGGGTCCGCCCGCCCGACCCGACCCGACCCGACCGCTAGGGTCCGCCCGCCCGACCCGACCCGCCTTAGGGTTCGCGCGTGCTCAGTCGAGCGCGCCTCACACTTTAAGGTACCGCCCGCCGACCCGATCCGCCGATCGGGGTCCGCCCGCCCGACCCGACCCGCCCGTCAGGGTCCGCCCGCCCGACCCGACCCGACCCGCCCGCTAGGGCCACCCCGCCCGATCCAACCCGCCCGTTCGGGTTCGCGCGTGCTCAGTCGAGCGCGCTCCACATTTCAATGTCCCGCCCTCCCGACTCGATCCGCCCGTCAGGGTCCGCCCGCCCGACCCGACCCGTCCCGCCCGCCAGGGTCCGCCCGCCCGACACGACCGCCCGTTAAGGTTCGCGCGTGCTCGGTCGAGCGTGCCCCACTTTTTAATGTCCCGCCCGCCCGACCCGACCCGCCCGTCAGGGACCGCCCGCCCGACCCGACCCGACCCGCCCGCTAGGGTCCGCCCGCCCAACCCGACCCGCCCGTCAGGGCTCGCGTCGGCGAAACCAGCGCCGGCGAAACCAGCGCCGGCGAAACCAGCCGTCGGCGAAACCAGCGCCAATGAAACCAGCGCCAGTGAAACCAGCCGTCGGCGGAACCAGCCGCATGCGAAACCAGCGCCGGCGAAACCAGCGCCTGCGAAACCAGCCGTCGGCGAAACCAACGGGGCGAAACCAGCAACGGCGAAACCAGCGCCTGCGAAACCAGCTCGTGCCCAAACCTTGCGTTTCCTTCGCTTTCTCCTTCCCCTCCTCCTCCCCAGACATCCCAGGCCTCCCAAATGGGGTCCGAGCAGACGGGGTCGGAGGATCGCGCCGCGCCGCCGATCCATCGACGATGCGCCTCGATGTGGAGCCAGATTTTCTCCACGCCGACGTCGCCGGTACATCGCCGACGTCGCCGATACGTCACCGATGCATCGCCGATGCATTGATACGGCTCGGTCCACCGTCTACTCGGACCCTAAATGAGAGGCCTCGAGCCTCTAGACATCCCATTCCCCGGGCCCGCTTCTCACCCCAAGGTGCCTTGCCTTGTTGACCGGAGCCGCCCCGCCTCTGGGGGTGCACGACATCGCGAGAACAAATGCATACAGGGGGGACGCGCATCAAGAAATCCTCTTCCTTTCTTCAGGGTATCTTGGGTTTCTTCGCTGCGCCTCGCTGCGCGTTCCCGCGGGCGTTGAGCAGCTGATTCGCTCAAAGTGCCGTCGGGTCCCCCCCCCCACTGCAATGCGCGCGCGCGGATTTTCGGGGCTGGGTTCCTTGCGAGGGTTTCTTGCGGCCGCGCCCGCACTGCACCATGGCCGCACTGTACCACTGGACGCGGGTTCGACGCGGTTCGAGATGGATCCGTCACGGGTTCGATTCGGGTAGCGGCGGGATGGGACAGACGAGGTCTCCAAGATGCAGCATGACGCCCCCTGCTTCCCGCTGACGGGTGGGACGGTTGCCGGGTGAGTGCATTTTGCCGTCTTGGTCTCTTCTTTCTCCTAAAGACTCACCCCTACCTCCGCCCCCAACAGGGGGAACGTTAGGGGGGGATAGGCTCAGGGAGTGCACATCTACCCGCAATCGCACATTCATCGCCGATAGGGGCTTCACAGCCCACTCCGCCCATCCGCCCAGGACCGTGTGGATTCGCTATCGGGGGCCTGTCGCCAATCTCTCGGCGATGCATCGCCGATTCAGGCTCGATGTTTCCCCCCTGAACCGATCCTCTGGCCGCTTTCGAGTCAGAACTCAGGCCTCAAATGGCCGCTCGGTACGATCCAGGATTCCCCGGAACGTTCTCGGCGAGGCGCAGCCGTTGGACACTATCCCGAGGTTGGGGGAAGGCTTCTAAGACAGAGGCTGCTTCTCAGAAGGCACCAGCCCCACACCTATAGATACTGCCCGCGCCTTCTAAGAAGCAGGGGTGCTTCTAGGAATCCCTCCCACCTCCCCCTACCCCCTGCCGCGCGTGGCTGAACGTTAGGGGGGATTGAAGTTTCGAGGTCCGCGGCTTTCGGACGCCCTCGTCGATTCTCGGCGGCTCCCCCTGCTTACTTGCTCCCCCCTGTGCGCGCCGCCAGCACGTCGCCGCTCATCTCCCCGCGCGGCCCGCGCAGAGGATTGTCTACCTCACGGACCTGGGGCAGGACCCACCGCCGGGCCCGCGCGGGAAGGCCGGCGCCCCCGGAGCGCCCAGGCGTGCGCTGCGGAGGCAGAGGGGGAGGGGGAGGGGCCGAGGAAGCGAGGAGGAGGCGGGTGCGAGAGGAGGGGCGAGGAAGCGAGGAGGAGGAGGAGGAGGAAGAGGCGGAGGAGGCGGAGCAGGCGGCGGAGGAGGAGGAGGAGGGAGGTTGGGGCTCCTCCATCATCCCCATCTCCCTCCCTTCCCCTCCTCCCCTCCCCCTCTTTTCTCCTTCCCCCCTCCTCTCCGCCCCTTTTCCCCCTCCCTCCCTCCCTCCCCCCCTTCACTCCCCGTGTGTAGGGGGGCCCTCCTCTCACGTGAGTCAGGGAGGGTATCATTAGCATCAGCAGCCTCTGTGGTTTGGAGCTTGCGACGATGGCAGTCAATTCGCACAGCTTGCGTCGATTGAAATTCACCGATTCTCCGGTCGCTCGGCCGACCCTGGCTTGCGACAGTTTAGGTTGCAACACAGACTCTTTGTAATTAGCCGTATCGTGCGTCGCGTGAGGCATAGCGTATACGGACCCGTCTGCGTCCAGAACGTTCTGGGAAAATTCCGCCAGAACATTCTGACAACATGTTTGTCTCACGGACCCGTCTCCGCCAAGAAAGTTCCAGGAATTGTCCGCCGGAACGTCCTGAGAACATTCCTGTCGAATGTGCCGCGCTGATCATTATAATGCACCCAGAGGTACTCGGACTTCGTGTACTGCGGGTGGCTGCAGCTAGGGTGTAGCATTTCGACGACGCGGCGCTTGCAATGTCGCGGGGCACGAACGGGGAGCGACGTTGTTGCGCGGGCGCCAGCGCGGCACTGCGCGGCGCCGCGCGTCATGGCTGCGCTGCTCGGGAGAGCGGCTCAAGCCCCCCTCGCCAAGGGGTTTCGCACGCGGGAGGGGTCCTCAGCGGCCGCCACCTCCCAGGGGATGGACCCTGGCGGTGGGCGGCGTCGTTGTTTCTCGCCGCGCGATGGGCGCCTGATTCCTGTTTTTGTTTGTCCGCTGCATCGGTGGGTGGCTGTCGCCGCTTCGCTTCCGCCGTTCCCTTCCTCCGCTCGTTTCCCGCTGTCCTCGCCGTCGGCCCGCCTGTCCGTCTTCCCCTTCTGGGGTTGGCCTGTGGCCCCGCTTGTGCTGTTCGCCTGGGCCCCTCTCCGCCCCCGCCGCCTGCTTTGGCCCGCCTCGGCCCTGCCCTGTCCCCTGGCCCGCTTCGCCCGCCCCTTCTTTCCGCTTGCCTCGGCCTGCCTGCTGGCCCGTTTGGCTCGGTTGCTTGGCTTGGCCCTGGCCCGCGCCCTGGCCCGCGGCCTGCATCCCCCCCCGTCCCTTCCCCCTCCGTCCGTCGGTCGTCCGTCGTCCGTCTGCCTGTCTGTCCGTCCTGTCCTGCGGCCTGGCCGCGGTCTTGGGCCTTGCCGCTCGGCGGCTCTTCCGCGCCCGCCCGTCCCCTCGCGGGCCTGGGCGTCGCTGCGTGGCCAGGAGGCGCGCGTCAGGTGTGGCTTGCATCACGGGTTGAGGGGCCCTTTCTTTCTCGCCAGCGAGTGTCTGGTGGTCTGCGCGTGACCGGGCGGCACGCGCGCGGTGCAGGTGGCACCAGGTGGGCGAGGTTCGCCCTGGTTGTTTTGTTCGGGCCAGGTCATTGTTGCGTGGCCAGGCACCGCGGGTCTGGAGGCCGGCGCGCGACCGGGTGGCGCGCGCGCGGTGCAGGCAGCGCCAGGGGAGCGAGGATCGCCCCGCGTTTTGCCGAAGGGTTCGGCAGCTGCCTTCGCCCCGAGTGCAATCGCGGCGGTTTCCTTGCAATCTTTCTTGAGCGACGTGGACGGCACGGCTCGCGATGCCACGTTCATCACGAGCGCGGCCGATTGGCTCGGCGGCCATGGGGCCACTGCCGCGCAGGACCTGGTCGGGCTAGACGTCGGCGATCCCCCGTCTAGGGATCTCGAGAATCCAAGTCTCAAGCGCGGATTCGTCAGGCGCGGCTCGCGGGGCCGGAGAATTCGCCCGCGCGCGCTGGCGCTGCGCGCGGCACGGGCGGGCGGTCGCCAAGGCCGCGCGGGCCGCGACGGAGCGCGCGGCGCGGCCGCGCGGGCCGCGACAGAGCGCGAGAATATTGAACGCGCGAGTGGATCGGCGACGACGCGGGCGTCCTTCTCGGAAAAATTGCCCGACGTGGGGCTGCGCGGCCTGGGCGCCCAGTTGACGCCACGGCGAGCCCCCATTCTTTCTTGCCGCCTAGCGCCGCGCTAGCCGCGCTCGCGAGGGCTGCCGCGGCGGGCGAACTTACGCGCGAAAGGTGCGCGTGCTGCTGACAGCGGAATAAGGAGTTTCGCCCGCGCCGACCCGCTGCGCCCCCCCCCGTTGGCTGAGTCGAGGCGGGCGCGCGACCACCGGGCCACAGAGGAGACGGGGCCGGCGCCCAGCGAAGTCCCCCAGCTCGCGCGCGCAATGGGAACCCACGCGGAAAATGAAAGAACACAGATTTGCCCATGCCCCAGTCGCAGGTCGCGCGGGGAACGCGCGGCGCCCCCCGGCGCACGCGGGCACGCGCGAAATGCGAGGCATTCGACGGCGGCCGTCGCCAGCGGCCACACGTCTGGCGCCGCCGCCTTCGCGCACCGCGACACATGCACGCAGGCGGCGCTGGCCTTCCCCGCGCCCCGCGGCGGCGTTTGGCCCGCCCCGCCCGCGCGCCCCCGCGGGCAACGATGGGCGCCCAAGAAAAGGGCGCGCAGCTCGGCATCTACAACGATTTCGCCACCCGCAAGAGCTGGCACGAGCGAGTCGCGCCGGGCGCCCCCCCGCGCCCCCCGCCGATGTTCCGCCTTCGCCGCGCCGCAAGGGGAGCGCGACCGCCGGCGCCCAGGTGGCGCGACGCTCGACATCGACAGAGAGTCTCGGGACCGAAGTGGAGCTGTCGAGGGGGCACGGGCACGGCAAGGGCAGCGGGAAGGCCCGCCGCACCGCGCGAAGTGGAGCGCCGCCGATTCGCCGCGAAGCGCCAGGCGCCGCACGGCCCCGCAAAGGGGGCCCCCGCGAGGGGAAGCGGCCGCCGCAAGGGCCAGAGCGATTCTGGGAAAGGCGGGAAGGGGAAGGCGCCCCATCGGGGCACATCTTCTGGCCCGCGCCGCGCGCGCATGGCGCCAGGCTTATGGCGATTCTCTCAAACCAACGACGCCAACGAGGAACCGCTCGCGGAGCCGTGCTCTGCGGGCCGGGAGCAGCGCCCTGCCCCCGCGCGGTTTCCAAACGAGTGACTTAGGGGCGCGCCACTTGCGTCCTGCATTGGCGCGCGGCGCCGGGGCGCGCGCGCCTGCGCGCGGGCTGCGGCAAGCCCCGACGCGTTGCACATGAGATTAGCTTGTGAGTGTGAGACGCTTGCTGGCGGCATCGGCCATTCGCAGACGCCGCGCACACGCTCGCGGGCGAGTCGCCTTCGGCGCGCAGGGCCGGGCGGCGACATCTGTCCTTTTCGCGCCAGGACGCAAGTGCGCACAATTCGGGGCGCGGGCAACACGCCCACGCGGCCCCGGGATCCGCGCTGGATCGGCACGCGGGCGGCTGCGACGCCGAATGCGCTTACCCGTGCTCAAGCACCGGCGAGCACGGCGCCGCCATAACTCCTGCGGAGACGCTTGTTCGGCGCACGTCGTCGCGCCCCCTCCGCGCGCGCGTCGCGCACCGCGCCCGGGCCAGTGGCGACGAGGGCCGCGAATTCATAGATGTCTTCAAGTGGCCACATGAAGACGACATTTCTGCAATTCGCGAAGAGGTCGACGCGCTACTATCAGACCAGTCCCGGGTGGAGGCCACGCCCCCGCTCGACCGCTCGAGGCGGGCGCAGTCGCCCCCGCGGCCCGCGGCGCCAGCGACCTGCCCGAGCGAAGTTGAATCTACCACGCACTGGGCGAACGCCGCGTCGTGGTCTGAGCTGCAACGCGCCCGCCGAGATGCGCTTCTTCTCTGGGGCAAGCGACGAAAAGCCCTGGACGAGGGTTGGAGGACCCACCTTGCCACGCTGCCACGGCTCGCCCAGTCGGTCCTGGGAGATCACAAGGACGTCTTCTTGCTGCAGGCACGGCGCGACCTCTCTCTCTCTCTCTCTCTCTCTCTCTCTCTCTCTCTCTCTCTTTTTTTTTTTTTCTCTCTCTCTCTCTCTCTCTCTCTCTCTCTCTCTCTCTCTCTAGCACGGACGATAGTGACGCCGACACCGACGCCGGCGGCTTCAGCCCCAGCGACGGTAGTTCGCTCGACACGGACAACGACGACGGCCACACTCGTGGCCCACCACCTGCCCAGGTTCCCGACGCCCTCCCCGCCAACGCTATTGTTGCCAACACCAAAGACATGCTTAAGCTCATGGTCGACACCTGGGAGCCCATCTTGGGCAGGTACCGCGCTCGCGCGGGCCATGACGCCGAAGCTATGCCGACGTGGGCGGACTTCTACGACGAATACCGCCAAGAGCTGCCTACGCCATCACCAGCAGCCCCCTTCCACCTCACCGACGACCAACTCATCCACTTCATTCGCACCCGTTCACCGCGCCGCGCGGGGGGACTCGACGGCTGGACGACCAAGGAGGCAAAGGAGTTACCCGACGACATCCTTCGCCTCTTCGCCAGCGTCTTACGTGCTATGCAACGCACTGGCACCATCCCCGAGCCCCTCCTGCACGTGCCAAACCCGTGCCTCCGAAAAGGCCGAGGGGAACTCCCGACGGACCAACGACTTCTCTCGGTTCTTTCCGTGTGGATGTATGCGTGGGAAGCGCCGGCCTACCGTAGCCTCACGACCTGGCGGCAAGGATGGACCCATGCCACGAGCTTCGGCGCTGTTCCCAAAGCCACCATTGGGGATGTCAGCACCTCTCTCGCCCTGCGCATCGAACACGCCAGGACTTTACTCCTCCCCTTAGCTGGAGCTGCCCTTGACCGACAGAAGTGCTTCGACTACCTCATCACGGACATCTGTCTAAACCTTGCGCTGCACGCGGGGTGTCCACAAGACATCGTTACTGTCCGCCGAAATTTCTACAGACACCACAAACGCTACATCCGCATGAACGGAGCGTACTCCAGGGACCTGGCCAGGACAAACGGTCACCTCCAGGGCAGCTCGTGGTCCCTGGATGACATCAAGCTGCTCATGTGCGTGTGGACAAAGAGGCAGCACCGATACGTTCCTCGATCACTCAGCACTACCTTCGTTGACGACAGCAACTCCACTACCCACACCGCTTCTGAGCTGCAGAAATCTCTCGACGAAACCGCCAAGTTTGATCGATTCTCAGGTCAACGCATTCACCCTGGTAAAGTGGCAGGGTGGGCGCTCACCGACGAGCTTCACGCCGCCGTTACCCAGCTCACACTGGCGGATCGCCCCCTACGTGTGGTCGATTCCTTCAAGCTCGTCGGGAGTTACATCAACGCAGAGGCAGCGCCGGCTCCAGCCGCGCTTAACCTCACGGCCACCGCAGACGCCCGTGTACGGAGGGCGACTATCCGCCTGCCGCGCATTGGCAAGCTCCCGTCGCCGATGCTTATCAAGGCGCGGCACGCCCGATCCCTGGCTGCCAGCGTCTGCACCACGGGCACCGACATTCAAGCACCATCAGGCCCAGCCAAGACTGCCTACAACCACGCCCTCAAGGCGGCTATCCGCCCCAAGGGGAACAAGTGGGTCGAGTTCTGGACTCTCATGGCCGTGTGCGTGCCGGGACACGCCCTTGAGATCGACGCCATCACGCAGCGTGAAGCATTCCTGTGCCTGCGGCGACAGGTTAACCGCGACGTTACACTCTGCGGGCTCGCCAGAGACCTCCAACACCACGTCCAGACCCTGTTTGGTGGAGGACCCGTCGGACGACTCGTCCAGTCGCTCCAGCAGCTCCGATGGACCTGGCCCACATTTGGCATCATGTACGACGACTGGGGCTGCCCGATCAGCTGGCTGAATTTACCCCAAAACGCCTTCCTGCACATGCTGCGGGCCTCACAACGCAGGGCATTTCTGCGGAGGATCAAGCCACGGCGACACGACCTTGGCTACCTCGCCTCTGTCAGACAGGGCCTTGACCTCTTCGCCAGCACGTGGCTCGCGCGAACTAAAGGAGCAGCCAAATGCACTGCCTGGCAGCTGGCGCTCCTCCTGAACTACCTGTCGGGCGGGGACCACACCCAACAGCGACGATCCCGATCAAACACGTCGGCAGACCCCAGCCCCATGTGCCGCTACTGTGACGAGGAAGAGGAAACTCAGGAGCACACTGTCCGCGACTGTAAGTGCTGGGCCCGAGAAAGACTCCCTCTCACCACCCTCATCAGTGACGACCAGTGGGCCCGTCTTCCGCCGCACACAAGACACTGCGGGCTCTTCGACGAAGACCCAGCCCTCCTCGACCTGCAGGCCGACCTCGCGAGGGACCCGCTGCCACAGCCCATTCCGCGGCCCTCCCCTGATGGTGATCCTGCGGCTTCAGCCCAGGACACCTACACCACCTACCTTGACTACGACACTGGTTGGACATGGGTCTATGCTGCCACGGACGGTGCGTGCACCAACCAAGCCATCCCATTGCTAGCACGAGCGGGTTACGGCGTCTACTACGGCATCGATCACCGCATGAACTACAGTGCACGCGTTCACGGCCTAACGCAGAACGCCCAGGTTGCGGAGACCCTCGCCATTGTCCACCTTACGGCATGTGCCGAACGGCCCGTGCACGTTTTCGTGGACAACCAGGCGGTGGTCGATGGGTTCCAAAGCATCATCGACGGACATCCAGCGCCGCAGGGCACGCACGCGGAGCTCTGGGAAAAGATCCACCGATGTGTTATGGCCAAGCCCAACATGTTTCGCGTCGAAAAAATCGCCAGCCACCTGGGAGACCTGGGCATCGACCTTGGGCTCATCGGGCCCATCGCGGAGGAGTTCAACCGTCAGGCCGACGCCCTTGCCACAGCGGCGGCACGCACGCACAACCTCCCCGACGACATTGTTGAAGCTGCCAAAACACGACATCGCCAAGCGACCGTGCTTCATGGGGTCGCTGTCGCTATCTACGAGCGCAGACACCGTACTCTGCCGCTCCCACACCGCAGGGCTGGGTTTACAGCAGCGGAACTCAGCAAAATGGAACCGAACCCCCTGCTGTCGGACCAGGCACCACCCGCGGCTGGACCATACATCCCGCAGAACCCGGATGAGCTCTGGGCCGAGGCCCAACGGGCGATGCACGACGAACAGGAGGACGACCCGTTCGGCTTCGGCGGGGGATTAGACTTCCTGGACGACGGGCCAGCCAGCGCCAACCCTGCCCCGTCGGGCAGCCTCTCGACGCCCACCTCGACTCCGCCACCGAGAGCGACATCGCACCCACATGATGACGTCGCTCACCGTCAAGACGCCGACGAGGACCTTTATGATCCCCTCGGATTGAGTGGCAGCATAGACGACGCCCCGCCGACACCCCACGCTGCCGACGATGCCGCTTCATCGAGACGCCACCCGACCACGCGGCCGACCCCCGAGCCCTCGCACGGCATCATGACTGGTCCCCCCGTGCCACCCACCCCGTCCCCCCACCAGCGCCAGCCCGCGGGGGCGGCTCCAGCCCCCCCGCAGGGCACTGAGCCAGTCAGGCCGTCGCACCCCGTCCACGCTTTTACTGTTGCTGGGTGCGAGGCTGCGGCTCCTCCGTCCTCACGGGGCGTGGCCCTAGCGGCTTCAGCCCTGGGACCGCGCGTTCCCTCCAGTCGCCTCGCAAGGGCGACGGCCGCCAGCGCACGGATCGCCGCACCGCGCTGGTCCACCACCTGGCCAGGCGCACCGATGACCTCGTCCCCGCCACGAGGCCCGCGGCCGCAGGCACAGAGCAGCCGCCCCTCACCGACCGCGAAGCCGAGCTGTCCCAGTCTATGGCCGCTCTTCAGCAGAGGTGTGCTGCTCTCGCCGCCGACCTTGCCGCTGCTCAAGCCCGTCAAGGCCCTCTGCTCCAGCGCCTCCACCGCGCCGGTCGTGCCTTCGCCGAGCTGCTTACACCCTCGCCCGATGGTGCTGCGCCGCCACTCACCCTCCATGCTATGCTGTCATCGCTCCGCGGCGCTCCGCCTGGAGCCCCGCGCTAATCTCCGCCATTCTGCCTGCCCGTGTGCACGCGTGGCCCCGCGTCCACGGTGTCAGGGCGTGGGGGCGGGGGGGGCCCCGTCCCTGCGCGCCGCTTTGCGGCCAAGCGCCCAACTGGCGGTCTGCCAAGCCGCCTAGCCACGTGTCAGCACGTCGCCTTCCTTGTTGGGGCCTTCTTCGTCACGCGGTCTGACACGTGAGATCTTCACTGTCTGTCCGCCGTCTGTAGCGTCAGTCGCATTGCGCCGGGGGAGGGGGTTTGTTGCCCGCCCTCGTTTCTCAAGGCTGCACCGCCGCAAATAGTGTTTGGCGGGTTGTCGCACCGCAGTGCGCCTCGCGGACGGACCCTGGTCCGCCTACTTGTCCGGTCTCTCTCTCTCTCTCTCTCTCTCTCTCTTTTCTCTCTCTCTCTCTCTCTCTCTCTCTCTCTCTCTCTCTCTCTCTCTCTCTCTCTCTCTCTCTCTCGCCCGCGCCGCCCATGATTCGGCACCGCGCTGCTGCGGAGGAGATGATGGAAGCGGCGGGCTGCTCGGATGAGAACCCGGCGACGGATCTGACGCGGGCACCCCCCCTGACGGGGCCGATATTTCCCGCGGGCATCGCGCCCCCAGCGCGGCGCCCCGCGGTGCGCAGCGAGGCCGAGCTGCAGGAGAGGGCGCACCAGAGCAACTCCGACGCGCTCCGCCGCGCGCGCAGGCCGGCGGAATTGGACCCGGGTGTTGAAGTTAGCGCAGGCGACGCGGCATCCGCGCGGCGGCTCTTCCTTGCGCGCCCCACCATCGCGCGTCGGAGGCCGCACCGCTGGGGCCGATATTAATGCGGCCACGCGCGGGGGCGTCATCGCCCCGCGATTCGCTGTTAATGAAGGCTTCAAACTCTTGAGCGACGGGCCATGGAAGCGCAAGGTTCGTGCGATTGACGACTTCACGGCCAGCTGGGTCAACAGTGCTTCCGCGCCGCTCGTGGCCATGTCTGCAGACACCCTGGACGCGCCAGCAGCGACGGCGCGGCTAGCCGCAGCGGACAGCGCCAGGGCGCTGCTGCGGCTGAACAAATCGGATTTCGTCGGCGCATACAAGACGCCGCCGCTTCACTCCGATGCGCTGAAACACGCGGGGACCCTCAAGTGCTTGCAATTGTTCGCGCGCCCTTTCGGCGCGAAGGCGTCCGGCTTCCAGTGGGAGCGCCTCGGGCACGCCATCCGTCGCATCCTGGCGGTTTTATTTTACGTGGGCAGGGGGAGGTACGTGGACGTCACCTTCTCCGTTAACCGCGAGTGCCCACCGCGGGCCGGTCAGCGCGCAGGGCCCGCCGGCGAGGCCGATGTCAACCGCCGGGTAATCGAGGATTTGCTGGGGTGGGCCCTGGACCACGACAAAGAGCGCGCCGGCGCGGAAGAGCGCGCCGGTGCTGGACCATTGGCGCGCCGGCGCGCGCGCCCAGCGCTGCGACGAGAGTCAGTCCCCGCGCTTGTCGGTTCCCGAGGCAAGCGCGGGCAAGTGGGTGACCCAGATCGAAGGCATACTGCGGCGGGAATGCCTGTCCCCGGCGGAGGCCCAACAAGTGGCCGGGCGATTGAGTTTGGGCGCGAGCCAAGTCTTCGGACGGTCAGCGAGACCGTACCTGGCACCTCTGTTCTGCCATGCTAACCAGCGCTCGCACAGAGCACTTGGGCGCCCACGCCGATCGCTGGCCTGGCGGCTGCGCTTCTTGGAGGCCGGGCCCTCGCGCGCGCGCCCGCGTGCGTGGCGCGACCGCCCGCGGGTCCTGCTGTATACGGACGCGACGGGCGGCGACGGCGCCCCCGGCCGGGAAGGAGTTTGCCTCCGCCGCGGCTCCGAGCGGGGCCAAGCGACGGTTGAATTCTCAGAAGACGCAGGTTGCAGCGTTCGAGCTAATTGCGGCGCTCGCGGGGTTGCACCACGCGTTCCGCCCCTGCCTGGGCGCGGAGGTTGTCGCTTTCGTTGACAGCACTACCGCGCCTGGAATCCTGCGCCAGGGTTCGTCGCGCAAAAATGATTATAACGAGCTGGCGCGCCGTCCACTCGCGGCGCGCGCGCGGTCGCGCAGCGCCGCGTCGCGCGATCAGGTGACAGGCATATGGCCGGCAGCAGCCGCCCACGATTGCGCGGCCAGCTTCTGGCGCGCTCCGTCAAAACAAAAGATGGCTGACGCGCCAACGCGGCCAGCGGAGGCCCGCGAGAGGCTGCGGGCGATGGCGACCGACGGTTTCACAAGGGCGGCAGGGACATGGGAGTGGTCGCTTCCGTGGGAGGCCACCTCTCGGAGGCCATGGCCTATGGCCGCCCCTGCACGCACTCTTCTTGCGCGCGCGCGCCGCCCCCGTCGGGGGCACCTTCTTCGCTGCGCGGCGCGGGGGCGACGGAGCGCGGCGCGGGCCTCTCCGCCGCGCATGGAGTCCGCGAAGTTTTGTCCGCGCACGCGCCACCCGCGTTTCCCGTGGCTCTCTTTCACGCTCGTCTTCGCTAACGGCGACGCAGGACCGCGCCCCCGCGGCGGTGCAACCGCGCGCCCCGGACACGGAGGAGGGCGCGCGCGGCCGCATTTCTGCGCGCTCGCTAGGAAGCGGGCTTGTCCGGCCTGCTATCGCGGGCCAGGGCGGCGCGCCCCGATTACCCGCCGCACAAGCTATTCAGGTCGTTGGAAGGTCTGCGACGCAATGGCATTGACTCGGTGCGCGAGCTGGTCGCGCTCGAACGACGCTCGTTCCTGGTCGACCTTGGGTTTCAAGACCCGCTCGAAGAGGACGCGCGGGGCGCTGCTGGCTATTTTCGATGGGGCACCAGCAGGGCGCGCGACTCACCTTCCCCTTCTTGGCCCCGGCCCCAGCGCCAGCGGTTCGCTCGTAGGCAGCGCGGTGAGAAGCGACAAGCGGCGCCCAGCGGGCACTGTGGCGCGTCGGAGAGCAAGGTTCCGCGCGCGCGCGGGGCAGGGCACGCCGCTCTCGCACCCGCTTGGGCTCAGGCCTCGGGCAATTCGCCGCCCTCGCCCTCGCCCGACGGGGCGCGGCCCGCGACGGGAGGGTCGGGCGCGGCACCCCATCCGACAAGGCGCCTGCGTCTACACAGCTCGCCCGGTTCTTCAGCCAGGCTGGAGCAATGGCTCGCGAACAGAACCGCCTTTCCTCCCACCCACGCGCGGCTAAGGACGGGGCGGTCGCCACGCGCGAGGTTTCTCGCAATCGGTCTCAAGGAGACGGCTTCATCGACGAATCGGTAATGTTGGCTGCATGCGGGAGCGCCCCTCGATCGCTGAACGCACGGCGTTCGGGAATCCGTCGGCGGCGGAAGTTTCCGCGGAAGCGCGGAAGTCGCTGGGTCGGCGGGGAGACAAGTACCCGCCGACCGCGGAGTCACTTTGCGCCCATGCTCGGACTTTCCACAGCCGGCGCGCGTTCACTAATCACGTCGGGCTCTTTAGGAAGACCTGCGTCGTGCTAGGCCTGAACACGTCTGCGTTCGATCCCCCCTTCTAGCCATGGCAAAGGTCGCGGCGTCTCAGCGCTGCCCGGGCATCTACAGACCGCGCCCGCACACATCCCTGGAGACGATGCACGCCTTGCCGGACAGGGGGCAAGCCCCGGCGGACTCGCTGAGACTCTGGACCGCCTGCTTCACTCTCGGACTGCGGCCCCCGCCCGAGGGGTTGAGCTCGGCCAGGGACCCGGCGCCGGAACCGACCAGGATGGCCTTGCGCAAAGACGGTGACTCTGTTGCGCCCTTCTTCCCTCGGCGCAAGAATAAAGAGTACGCCTCGATATCCGAGCGGAGATGCTGGCGCGACAGGCCCCCTCGGACGCGCGCTCCACGCGATATGGCCCACGTTTGAAGCCGCCGAGATTGGGGCAGGCCCGCTCACGGGCACTAGGCCAGACGCGAGCACACGCGCGCGCGCCGCGCCCGCGCAAGCGCCGCGCTTTTCGCGGAGCGCTGGGCGGCACGACTGGGGCCGCGAGCCGCGCCCGCCGCCGCGCGGGCCCGCGGGTCACGCGAGCATTGGGGCCGAGCGCGGTCGAACGCGCGACCCGCTGGCCCACGCGCGCCTGGCGGCGGCGGCGTTGGCGGCGCCGTCGCGTTTCGCCCAAAGTCTGGCGCGCGCGCGACCCTCGGGGGGGGGCGAGCTGGTCTGCGTCGACGGCGCGGCGCTTGCGACGTCGCGGGCACGAGCGGGGAGCGACGTTGTTGCGCGGGCGCCAGCGCGGCACAGCGCGGCGCCGCGCGTCACGGCTGCGCTGCTCGGGAGAGCGGCCCAAGCCCCCCCGCCAAGGGGCTTCGCACGCGGGAGGGGTTCTCAGCGGCAGCCGCCGCCCAGGGGATGGACCCTGGCGGTGGGTGGCGCGCGGGGCCGAGCTCGGTCGAGCGCGCGACCCGCTGGCCCATGTGCGCCCGACGGCGGCGGCGTTGGCGGCGCCGTCGTGTTTCGCCCAAAGTTTGGCGCGTGCATGACCATTTGGGGGGAGCGAGCTGGCGCGTGCGTTTAGACACTGGAGTCAGAGGCACGAGCGACAAAATGAAGCATCGCTCCTTCGGTCCAAGATGGACGAGGGGAAAGAGGGAGTCATCATGGCGAGGAACAAATCTCAGCGGCAGCACAGGCTCGTGACTCGCCGATCGGTCTCTACTGAAATTCTCTTTCGATTCACCCGCAGATTGCATGTTTCTCCAAAGTCGTCAAATGTTCGACATTCGGCCTGCGGAGACCGTCCGTCATCTTCGGGAGCTGGCGGCTGGAACGCCGGTTGTATAATTGATTTCAGAGGAGCAATAATCCTACAGTTAGCCGGAACCTCATTGCAGACTCGTCTGACTTCATCCGCTTTAATGTTGTCAAGATCCCCACCTGGTTTCCGTAGTGGCGGCGGTGGTAATGAGAATCAAACTGCGTATTCCCTCGTCGGACTTGATGGCAGACTCCTGCCAGACGGCGCAACACGACTTTGAGCCCAACGCCGAGAGGCGTTGGACTCATGGGAGCCCCTCCGTCTATATCAATTTCACCAGTCGCATCTACATGGATGATACGCACGTGTCCATGCTGTGGAGATGTCCTGGCGGGTCCGTCAGCAACCTGCCCGGCATGCGGCGGATCGGTCCACAGCCACTGCGTCACCCGCAGGTTGAGCCAGGCGGCGCCAGACGGCTGCGCGCAGAGCCTGAACCCACAACCGCGCCGCCCTCGGCCGCCTCATGGCCTCGGCGGGCACCGTCGCGGGACTGCCCACCTGCTCATCAGTATGGCCGCCAGAGCCGCGTCCGCGTGTCAGAACCCCCGTGCCCTCTGTGCGCCGGTTTCCTCCCCTTCGGGTGCGGCGCCGAATGCAGCGCCACTTCGGCGGCCTCGTGCTCTGGAGCAGCACGACATTCCGGAGGCGGGCAGAGAGGCCGTGGCGCCCCTCGAGACCGCGGAGTTTGGGAGCGAGCTGAAAAAAACCATGGCGGACATGCGCTCCATGAGGCGCGAGATGGAGCTGCTCAGGGCGGAGAACCTTCGGCGCGCTCATCAGCCTCGACGGCGTCGACCGCTGAGGTCACGAGCGGGTTCGCGACGCCGGACCTTGCTGCGCCCAGGCTTGCGCCCGAGAGCGACCGGGCGAAAACTGGCGGGCCAGCGACCTCGTCGCGCGCTGCGGGAGGGGAGTGGGGGGAGAGGGAGGGGGCGAGAGGGGAGTGGGGAGAGGGGAAGTGAACTTCGTCGTCCTCTTCCACCTCCATCACCTGTCCGTACGACTCCTTGTCGCACCCCCGTCCGTAGGGCGGGCTGGGCGTTTCGCTTGAGATCTCAAGCTTGAAGTCTACATGCAACAGCGATGGAGGGGGGGTGGTTTTCAAAATGGTGTTCTCGCTTTAGCGTTGCGCACATTTGTTTTGAATGGTTGTCGCAGTCTCACGGATGGAAGGCGGATGGTTTTCAAAATGGTGTTTTCGCCCCAGTGCCGCGCACGTTCGTTTTTTAAAAGTTCGCGACAGTTTCACCGATGGAGAGCGGGTCGTTTTCAAAAGAGAGTTTTCGGCCGTGCAAGGGGGGCCGATGCCCCCAAAAACCAAAGGGCGGGAAGATGTAATTCTCTTCCCTTGCCTTAGGTCAGGTCAGGTCCGATCGCGCGCGGAGGCCGCACGCGCCCCACAAGTGGAGACGGCGACGGAAAACATGCAATGAGACACGCCCCTCTGAGATATGAAAATTGCAGGCAGGCTACTACGAGGTCATGAAGTCCACGAAGTCGTCCTCGAAATGTGCTAGATCGAACACTCGTGTGCCATGAAGTACTTCTGATAGCGACGTGGCGTGTTTGCTACTCAGATACTTGTTCACGTTTTCTGTCCACCTTGTCCTCGGGCGTCCCCCGGGGCCGCTTGCCTAAAAGAGGGAGCCATTTCATCACCGCTTTCGGCCACGATAA